CTTTAGGTGGTATAACACTCAAACCCTTACAGTACAGAGTCTCTACAGAGAAAGTGCTGCCCGCATCCTTGCAAAACGTCTGAATTATTAAACAAATCCAGAAAACCTTAAAGTGACAAGAGACATTCAGAGGCCCAAAACAGCAGAGAAGCCAAAGTATAGAATGAATATTTCACAAAGCTCAATGCAATTACTTCATTGACCAAAAAAATCCTCAGCAACCCATGAGGAAGACCCACAAATCCACAGAGATAAAAGATAGAATTTGCTATTCACAAGGATAAGTGTAACAGAATCCAGAATACCAAATAAGTTACTTTTTAATCAGAAGTACTCAAAGCAAATATGAAAAATAAAACACTAACAAATGAAGCACATAAAACAAAAACAGTTCACACTCTTAAATAATGGTGCAAATGTCACTTGGGTGGTACTTTATTTTTTTTCTTCAAAAAAGTACAGGTAGACATTAGTACCTTCAAGGTTCACTTTTTTACTTTGAAGGTACTGTGAGGTACATTTACAGGTATTTTGAGAGATTCTGGAAGCTGTCCTTTGTCTAATACTAGCTATATCTTTTTTATAATTCTCTGGAACCTATTTAAAATTGAATGGCAAGCCTTTCTCTCTTTGTGTCTTGTCCTTTGGAAGCCTAAATACAGAAACAGAAGAAGCTTTGTATAAATAAATGGACGGCATTTTAGCTTTCTCTACTATAACATTACAGGACCTTTGGCCATGTCCCTTGTCTGCGCAGGGTGTGTGTGCGCGTGATAAATGCGCATAACCTAAAGGGTTAGTGATCTCAATAGCCTGGATGTATTTTATTGTAGTCCCCAAACTTTTGTTCGCTGTAGGCTTTTCATTCATTCATTTTCTTGACGGCGTAGTCCCTTTATTAATCCTGGGTCACCACAGCGGAATGAACCGCCAACTTATCCAGCAAGTTTTTACACAGCGGATGCCCTTCCAGCCATAACCCATCGCTGGGAAACATCCACACACTTATTCACACAAACACTTATACACTACGGACAATTAGCCTACCCAATTCACCTGTACCGCATGTCTTTGGACTGTAGGGGAAACCAGAGCACCTGGAGGAAACCCACGCGAAGGCAGGGAGAACATGCAAACTCCACACAGAAATGCCAACTGAGCCGAGGTTCAAACCAGTGACCCAGCCACCTTTTTGCTGTGAGGCGACAGCACTACCTTCGCTGTAGGCTTTGCTAAGCTAACTCCGTAAAAGCCAATGTCTCCCTTTGCATTGAACTTTGAGCATATTACATTCAGAGATGTTGTTTATACTCACTCGGCTACATTACAAATCAACTAAAGTTTAGAATATGTTATCGAAGTGGTCCACCCCTTTAAGCCTTTCTGTGATTTTTGTTTTGCAAGTTATTTATGCATTTCATGGGTTAGCATTATGCTGGGTTCACAGCAAATACAAATTAAGTATTCGCATGGGTGGTTTATATACTAAGTCAATGAAAATGTGTAGATGAGGCAAATTTCTGCCTCTAAGTATAAATGATATAGAATGCACCGCATGTTTGTCACAAAATTTGTCTCCATTGTATCTTCCACAGATTTTTTTTTAAATGTCAATGTGTGCTGAAAATTTGTGAGGTAAAAAAAATCTCATGAGTAATCATGACTCTTTGCATAGATGCTGTGAACGAGGGTGCTGACAAGGGAATTGAGGATCCAAATGCAGAGTTTATTATGCTGAAATGGTCAGGCAAGCAACGGTCAAACACAGTATAAACAGTATAACAAGATTCAGAAAAGTCTGTAGCTGTGTCTCAAATGGCACACTAAACGCCATGCACTCATGCACTATGTACTTATGCACTTCAACACTCAACAGCATAGTATATGTATGTTTGTCATCCTAAATGGAGCTCTAATGTTCTTTTACTAAGTGGAAACTCAAACGTTTCCCTGATGACGTTTGTCAGTTGCCAAATCATTGAAATAAACGACCAAACTATAATTACTGCCATGAGTAAAACCACATTCACCATCGGGAGGTGCTATAATCACTCTCGTAGGAGAATTTCGCTTTCACCATCCAAAATAAATAAAGTCATCCAACATGTGTGCCCGATAGCTCTGCCCCTTCCGCTACGTGAGCAAACCTGTGGTCGTTGAGTGCGTGAAGATTCCAACATTCCACACTTCATTTTACTGGCTGAATGAGTGAATCCGGGTAATTAAAGTGCACTTATTATTTTTATAGTTTTCAGTGTGAACATACTACTTAAACTATTTATACTACAAAATGGCATAGAATAGTGCATAAGTATGCGATTTGGGATGCAGCTTGTGTGTTTGTGTGTCTTGTAATTAGTCCATGAGCAGCTTCAGCTTTGAATGTTTGCAATCAAACAGGATTAGGAACCGGTGTGTGTGTGCAGTGCATGATTGGACCTTGTAGTTTTATTGCTGGCAGATTTGTAGTTCTCCAGCGATCTGCATGGGTTAGATCGCTGGTGGCTGTGACAGTTTTATGTAAAAACAACTTCACAAAGCTACGGTTCAAACCACTGAAATTATACAATAGAAATAAATCAATGCAATTGAAATCTGCCATGAAACAAGGATCACTGCATTGTATCTCAATTGCTCTGAATCCATGAATGTTTACAGATAAGGTAATCTGGTAAAGCGCAAGAATACAATGTAAAGAAATCAGACGTAAATCAATATTTTGATACAAGTATGGTGGATCTTAAAGCAAACACAAAAAACTAACTACAGATTTTGTGTGCTTGTGTGAGAGAGTTTCAGAATGTGAAGCACGGATAATTAGAGGCTTGCAGAATTTTAAAGATGTGAGACGGAGGTGGTCAGCGGTGCGCTATTTGGCAGATGTCAGCGTTCTTACATAAACCACCTTACATAATTCCTCTGTATTGCTCCTATTATGAGTTTTGAGAGTAACTCATTAGGAGGGCGAGTTGATTAATGCTGTGCAGTGGTGTTTCTGCGTCCTACATTCATCAAATGAGAGGTGACATCTTTCACAATGCATTTAACATTAGTCTGGTCAGGGGCTGCTGGAGGCTTTTAAAATGGCACAAGCCTCAGCACTAAAGCTGCTGCATATGAGGTTTTGCTCTGCAAATATTTCATCACATATCAAACCATTCAAAGGACTTAAGAGAAATTCATATTAATTAAAGCTGAATTTATACACAGCAAAAGAAAATTTTCATTAAGTCATAAGAACATGTTTTTGTTAATCCTAATTTAATAATAAGTTCATTAAACATTACTAACTTTAAGTTATATACACAGTTATAAGTAAGTTTAAATGTATTTTAAAATTACCACAAATACATTGATTCAGTGAATTCAATTGTTCTCTGATATCTAGAAAGAATGTGGCTTGGGTAAGTAAAAAAAATGTCCAAAAATGTATATGGAACGGTCTGATTTGATTATAATATATCATAAATCTTATTGAGCTCTGCTTTGATGCACAAGCAGCTCATGTCAGTACCTGACGCTTCACAGCATTATACTCTTAAATACACATACTTCAGTATGTCATGCTTCAATATATATTTTACCAAATTGACTACATTATGACGAACATTTTTTTTAACTAAAAAAGCTGTGACATTTATTTTAGCTAGAGATTTGCTCCTGGGTCATGTTGTAAATGAAATACAAACTAAATTATAATTATACTCAAGATCTACAAATGTATTTAAAATTAGATTTTGTGTGTTTAATGAATACGAAAACAGAGGGAGAATTTAATGTCAATCTCTGCATCAACAATTAGTTTAAAAAAATTTATTGGCATCCTTTTACTTTAATCCCATTAGGAGCGGAGTGATATGACATGCATGAACATGCATTAAACACTTATATTTAACAGTTTACGTGTCTGTTGCATCCTTACAAACGTAGTTTGCAAATTTCACAATATACATGTAATAATACATAGTAATTAAACTAACCAAAGATACATTTAAACAGCCCTCATGGGTGGAAATGAATACATTTATTATCCTTATATCTAATTTTTCAAGTATTTAGCTTAATAAGTACAGTAGTCAACATTTGAAGTGGATCAAAAAAGATTAATTTTTTTATTTGTCCTAAGACAAAAATAGGTGTTGATCAATAGATTTAGGACAACTTTGATGAAAGGTTTGATCCACTTGACATGTTGATAACTGATACAAGATAAACTAAAAAATAAGAGAAAGAATATCATTGTTGGGTGACACAGTGGCTCAGAGGTTAGCAAAGTACAAAAGACATGCACTATAGGTGAATTGAAAAAAAAAAACTAAAATTGGACGTAGTGTAGGAGTGCATGGGTGTTTTCCTAGACTGGGCCGTATAAAACATATGCCAGAATATTTGGCAGATGATTCCACTGTGGCAACCTCTGAAATAGAGACTAAGCCTAAGGAAAATGAATAAGTATGAGAATAAGTAAATGAATAAATAAATGACTATCGATGTTGTAATTTCACTAGGAAACATGGCCAAATAAACAGACCCTGGGGGGTGCATATTTATAATCCTATGTGCAACCTCACAATCAGTGTTTTGTTTCAGTTTTTTGTCTTTTTTTTATTTTAACCGGGATTATATACTCACTGTGAGCTTCCTCATTCTCATGTAAGTGCTGTATGTAAGTTCCATGGACTGAACTCTTATTTTCCAACTATGCCTAGTTTTATCCTGATTTTTATTCATTTACCTTTAGGTTAAAGTGACTCAAAGTTAATGTGATTCAACATTTAAAAAATAAATAAGAATACCAAGTCATTTTTACAATGTAGTTCATAGTACTTTAAATTAAACCTGCTATTAGGAGTATACGTTAAACTCTCATGTGGCCACTTGTACCATTGGTCATTTAAAAATATAACACAGCTTCCTGTGTGGATAAGTTCTGAAAAACAGAAACAGAATTTTTTTTTTTTTTTTTTTTTGAGGAACTGAATCCACAAAGTGCTGTGTTGCAGCACTGTAACAAGTAAAGAAAAGTAGTTCCCAGAGGCTCAGGAGGTTTCTGAACATTAAACATACAGACACTGTAAAAATTTGTCTGAAACTGTATGGCAGATACATCACAGCATATTGTAAATTGGTGAGTTTTATTTTCTCTCTTATTTTATTCTTGTTTTGCAAAAAGTCAGACCTGTATATTATTCAGCATTCCCTCTTTTAAGAATGTACAATTTTGATGAGATGCTTCTTATTGGACATAATATTTTTAAAACCTTAAAAAGAACATATGTAGGATTACAGCATTTGCAGTATTTTGTAGACACTAACATTTGAAAGTTCATGGTCAGTACATTTTTTAAGCAACATTAAAGAGGACTACTGTTTTTAATATGTATGATGATAAAAAATATTTCTTGAGCAATAAATCCACATATTAGACTGAAGGATTGTGACAATTAAGACAACAGTATTGATGCTGAAAATTTAGCTAAATATGTTAAATGTAATTAAATATTTGAATGCAGCCCTTCATGGAGAATAAAATAATCATGTTACAAACAAAATAATTTTTCCTTTTTGATATTTTAAAAAGTCTCATCATGTTTTCCGTCATTTCTCTTTTCAGATTAATAAATGGAGCTTCCAGCAAACAGAGGAATCATTCTCTGCTTATGAGGAACATTTACATAAGTTGTGGTTGGCTTTTTTTATTATTACTTTAGTGTCTTCCCCCCACATGATCAATGGTGAACCTACAGTACTGCTAAACAGATTTTGTGTTCCACAGAATGAAGTCAGTCAAATGTACTCAGAACAACATGAGGGTAAGAGTATGAGTTTTCAGTACTGTCATAATATTTAAAGTATTGTCAACTACAATATTTTATCCTAATTCATACGACAAATGCTTAATTCTATATTCAAATATGACCTACTGTACATTCTTGCAAGTCAAGGTTTTAAAGCTTTTGCAATGGTATAGCTGCACCCAAAAAAGAAAAGTTCCTCACATTTACTCACTCAAGTGATTCTAAACTTTTATGAGTTTCGGTCTACTGCTAAACAGTACAAAATATTCTGTTTTTGGATAATATTTGGATAAGTTTTTCAGTCTTAAGTCAAAAATTGTGCTCTTGCAAAATAATAATACATTTTGATTTCATGTGGACTTCCACTCCAAATCCACTGCTCAGAATTCTTTATACAAAACATTGTTATATCTTTACACATTATATTGAAACGTAAAAAATTTATATTTTTCAGCAAAAAATGTCATCATCTGTATGGGTCATTTTGAGAGCCCATCATACCCTGCATTCACACACCAGTTTCAAGTTTACTCTGATTATTCACAGCTAAAGGACATGATCACTGATTACCTAGCTTATACATACACCATTTTCACACACACACACACACACACACACACACACACACACACACACACACACACACACACACACACACACACACACACACACACACACACACACACACACACACACACACACACACACACACACACACACACACACACACAGCTGTGTCTTGTTAGTTTGTTGCTACAATTTAAAAACATTTTCCATGATTGCTTTGCCTGTATTTTTAATCTTTGGACTGTTTGTGCTTTTTACTTTTTATTCTTTGCCGCCCATCTCAACCCGGTTTTAATGGGCAAAGCAAATTAAACCCCACGTTGTAGAGTGAACGTTCACAGTGAGAGCTGCTGAATAACATTTCAAGATAATGCATTCAAATCCAGATAGATGCAGCTAGCTGATGCAGTTTTTAAACGATGCAGGTTTTAAATGCTCTGTTCTTGTAATGTGTTTTGTTTTGACTCTGGTCTGAGGTCCCAATCAACACTTTATGAATAAATATGTCTTGTTTTAGTCATAAAAAAGTGACATTATTAAAATACATCGTCATAATTTCAGTGTATTTGTACAAGTCGAGATTCGGACCATTTACAGCACAGTTACCCTGTGCACACGCACGGTCCATTAGACTACATGAGATAGAGATTTATTTTCTGACCCTGACAGTTAAACGCAAGTTTGCCAGGTCTCGAAACGCTTCTGAAAATACCAATGCTTTAAATTGCTTGTGTCACGTGACCTGGTGTTTCAAAAACACTTTAGTCACATGACCTGGGGCCTGTTTCAGTAAGGAGGTTCAAACAACTCGGAGTTTAAACTTGAAATCTGAGTTGATTTACCGAGAGATTAAAAAACTCAGATTTCAGAATAGCTGATCTGAGTTGGGTCAATCAACTTTGAGTAGACCAACTCAGAGTTAAGCGCGCACACCGTGACTATAAAAAGGCATTATCAATGGAGCGCAGATATTACGAGTGACCATGGCAACATCTTAAAAAAAAGAGATAACCATTTCTTTCCCCAGCTGAACTTGATCTGCTCATGCAAAGTTATAGCAAATATGAGTGTATATATTTAAAAAGAAGCAACCATCAGTGAAACAGAGACAGTTAGCATGGGAAAACAGCTGCTCAAGTTAATGCGTAATTTTTAATTTAAAGTATTTAAACATTTAAGTATAATAAAATAAGTAATGTAATGTGTGACGTTTATACTTTTTTTCTAAACTTTTATACACGTTTATCAGTTTTAATAGATTTAACAATGCACTTGTGTGTCTGCCTTTTTATTGATCAAGTAATAGAGGTTGATATGACATTTAGAAGGTAAGCAGTGCTAAAAATAATTTTTAGACAGAATAATAATCCCATTAATCTAGTAACAGTACATGTCGAAGGTTAAGCTAAATATTTATGGAAAAAAGGACAAGCCTCGTACGTGACTTTGTTCTGTGTGACAAAAATGTAGGCAATAGCTGTGTTTCCATCAAAATACAGGCTATTACATAAATTTGTGCAAAACTGGAATAACGCCTAAAAGATGCGAATAAAGCAGCGTTTTTATCCAACGAGTCAAAGAGAACACAATCGTCACTTCCTGATTAACTTGCGGCAAATATCAACAGTAAAAACAGAATTTACTGCGGTAGAACAAGCTGCGTCAATGATTTCTTGCGCCTCAGAAGACAATTGACACACAATGAACACGTGGGGGCGTTTGAAGCCAGACGCGGAGACTTGACACGCTCCAGACGCTTGGAGGTAATTAATAAATACACTAATACGGAAACAGTTAAGGCATTTAAGAATGACTAAAACAACATTTAAGATGTTCTACAGTGTGCTCAGTCTGCTGGTTTGTCCATTTACACACATTTTCATCATCATCTCTAACAAACTTTTTTAAATGTACATACTGTAATTTGTTAAGTGCACTTCGTAGTTTATGCGCATCTTTTCTTATCCAATAAAAGTTTAACCTACTCAGTTATGCGCATGTTTTATTATGCATATTTTCAAAAGTTATGTGAATCATGACGTTTCCATCAATCGTTTTTATAGCCATCTCCAAAATGAGCTCTAAAATAGGTGTGTGGAAATGTAAGGCTCAGGCGAGAAATACGCTTCATCTTTAAAAAAGGGGAGGAGACCGACAGAAACTCTGAGTTTAGAGAATAAAACCTGCTCCGGACCAGGTTAGATTTACAGAGTAAGTTACCACAGTAACTGACTCTGAGTTAAAGTTACCTTTCTTTCAGAAACAGGCTTGACTTACCCTGATTTCTTGAGTTTAACAAACCTGCCATTTTGAAACGGAAAACCCAGAGTTTCTCTCATTTCAGAGTTAAAATACTCTGAGTTTTTACTTAGGCCGTACTCACACTAGGTACAGTTGCCTCGAACCGGGCCAAAGCACGCTTGTCCCCCCTCCCGTCTCCCCCGACGGCCCGCGCTCACACCATATCGGGCCTCGGCACGCTTACGTCATCATTGCTGCTCTGTTCTGTGAGAAGCGCTCTCTATGGCAAGCCTTTTTAGCATTTAAATCTTTGTTCTGACTCCATAAATATATTTAGAGATATCTCTAATTATATTTTGACTAGTCATAATTATAATTCCACTACTCAGAATGACAATTAGAGATATGCTAGAGAGATGCTAAAACGGCTTGCCATACGCTCTCACCCAGTAGCACAGTGGAGAGTTCTCTAGTTATATCCTTTCAGTCGTTTGTTATGCATTGACATGCAGTCAAATATTTCGCCAAACAGTCCTTAGGGATGCGGTGACACGCAGTCAGATATTTCACCGGACAGATCCGCCACTTTTGGCGTTCATAAACAATCATTAAGCTCTCGTGCTGCGGGAATGAGGAGGTCTGCTGAAGGTGCGCAGCTGTCATGCTGTGAGGAGTTCTCGTCTTTAATAAACTACGGAAGTTTGCGATCACTGAACAGTAAGAATGTTTAATAAATCCGATTGAAACAACCCATTAAAATTCATGTATCGCTTTCAGTTTTGGGCTTTGGCGCGTTTTGCACTCACACACAAGCGTACCGCGCCAAAGCCCAAGTGTACCGCGCTCAAGCACACCTCTTCCAACCGGGCCAGGGCCGGCCAAGTGAACCGTGCTTTAGCCCGATTCAGCGCACTCACACTTCTCAAACGATCCGGGAAACGGGCCTGGGCACGGTACGGATGGCATAGTGCGAGTAGGCCCTTAACCTCCTTTCTGAAACAGGCCCCTGGGCATTTTGGATCATACTCCTGTGTTTTGAAACACTTGAGCTTCAGGATCTCGCCACTGTGTCGAAACGTCAGTTTCTTGTCAGCCATCCCTACCGTTTTATAGGTTACGCTCTTGGATTATCTCTGTGATTGTGTTTGCTGATTTGACCCCTGCCTGTCTGACAATTTTCTCCCTCTTCACAAGACTTATGTTACTTTGTAAAAACAACAAATTATCATTTATATTTATGTTTTAGACCTCCCTGCTTTTTGTTCTAATAGTAGCTCTTCTCCTTGATACCCCTCTGCTTTTACCACTGTTTGGGGGTAATGGATTAATGTTTAATTAAATTATATACAAATAAAACTGTTCTTTCGAAAAACCCAGAATGGCATTTAAGCGTACAGCTCATCCATTACCCATTTACTAGCCTCTATTATAAACAAACCAATCTAAAATGGCTTGCCACACCCATGAATCACTGCATCTTCTCCCAGCTGAAGTGGCCTTGTCAGACTTGCTTACGTACTACATGATGTCAAGAAGGCCGAAGATGTGAAGCAGCGAAAAAATGAGTGAGACGACGAGGCCGTAAGGCTCTTACTGTTTAAGACTGGGGTAGACGAGTCCCGCCACCAGCCCAACAGGCCACACTGAGCCCGTTTCCATGACAACAGAATGCTAATGACTACACCCCTGGCTTTTCTTCCGCCGGAGAGAGCGATGTCACTGAATCTAGACTCTTCCACACCTTTTTTCCCCTTACAGTAACCCTTACACACTCAGAGCCATTTGTGTCTCACAGATCTCCTGATCGCACACAGATTGGATTTGATTTTGCTGGACTGATACTTGTTCCAGCCTTTATCTTTTGGTCCTGTCCTCCCATCCCCCCCATCCAACCTGCTTATGCTCTCCCTCTGTGATCTGCCCATGTGACCATAGCCAGCTGTTCATTGGCTGGCACCACAAGGGCATCCATCCAATCGGTGCTGCTTACTCATATAAACATAAGCAAAGCAGCATTCTTATGATTCAGAGCAGTCCCTTTCTTTCAGCAAGGAGTCAATGGGAAATACTACATTGGGTTCTACTACTTCATTTCTCATATCCACACGCAGACTGGATCTTTTTTTTGAGAGAACTATTCTGGCTGTAGGAGCATTTGCTGTCGCCTGCATTATTTCACATCATTGCCACTGTGACCAGCCTACAGTATTGATGGTTCATTCCTTTCCGCTGGCACACATGCAATTTTAGTATTAACACATGGACATGGCTGTGACATGTAAGTACTTTGCATTTAATCTTAACTGACTCCTCTCACACAGTTACCTTGAACAATAGCAGTGGTGCTGTTATTGTAGTTACCATAAACATGCATAATGATACAGAATAGAGCTAGCTGAAGGATTAATTTAAATCATATTTACATCACTATGAAGTATTGCATCATTATAAATATGTCAGGTCTGAGCTTTAATTTTTCAAAATATATGCTTTTTTATTTTTTACATTATGGGCTTCAACTTCCCATTCACATTTTGTGGTCTATTAATAGCTTACCTTTTCAATAGCATTTTGCTTTGTTTGTCACTGGTGGAGGGAAATGCATTAATGCTTGATACTATTAAAAGCAGCTGTACACCAGTGACTAATAGTGTCGCCATATATTTTTTACCATCTAGGAGGACTCATCTGTTTATCTGGACAGGCTGTGTAATGAAATAATTATGATACATGTGTGGTAGGGGGAAAAAATCTTGATTAATTCATCTCACTGTATACATTTTTAATATAATTCTACAAACCCTGTGGAAGCATGTTCCTCACATGGTATTTATTTTATAATTAGTAATAAAATAAGAATATAATAAGTATATCATTTAATAAAAAAATTTATTTTTGTCACTATGAGTAAAATACGTTTATACAATATCTGTATCGAATTTTTGCATAATCTGAGCAATCACTTTTCACTTAACTTTATTTTTGATGCATTTCTCAAAACTGTTGACAAAAACATGAATGTTCCCAGGTGCACTTTTTTAGTCTGCTTAGTTTTGCTTTATAAAATGCCCTCATGGTATTTACTACAGAAAAATACTCAGATTCTTAAATAAAAAAATCAAATCACAAACACTACAAAAGTGTCAATAATATAACAGGAAATAAATAAATGTAAAAAATTAATTAAATACATAAAATAATAAATTACCAAATAGATAATAAAATCATAGATAAACAAATATAGTAAAATAAAATAAGAAATAAATAATATAATATAATACATTAAAAAATTAAATAAATAAAAAAAATTACTATTTTTTTTCTTTAATAAAATGAATAATTTTAATTGACATCACTTTGTGATTTTCCTTCTAAAGTTCTGATCAAAGTTTAAATTTCCTCACACTCTGAGCAACTATTTATTATTGATGAAGAATAACTGACAAATTCTATGAGCATCAAACTCTTCCTAGAGACACATAGCCCAGCAGAGTTTATCTGCATTCACACCATGTTGTAATTACCATTAATTTCAAGAGGACAGGACATGATGTTCTACTCCGACCTGATCACATCCTCTGACAGGGATTATGCATTTCTATGGCATCAACATCAACCCCTAAACAAACAGCTAAACCTGAATATGCAGGTGGTACATGTAGGAGCTGGCAGAAAATTTACAGTTTGCAAGTTGTAATGAGGTTGTGAATGCTTTGCAGTTAGAATCTCATAATTACGATAATTCAAATATGGCATGAACACACCTTTTAGCTTCAACTCTTAATTAAATGCACCTGATCCAGCTAATCAGATGCTTCTGGCTTACATAAAAACCAGGTGTGTTGGAGCTGGGTTTTAACTAAACTCTGCTGAACTGTGGCTCTCTGAGGAATTATTATGTTTTGACCATTATGGGGATATTTGTAAGAGCTCATGCCTTCACTAATCCTGATACATTTAAATATTGCGTTTTAATTTAAAAATTGTTCTCCAGCTGTGCTATCATTATCAAATATATTTAAAATTCTGGGATAAATGGCTAAAACGAATAAATTGAAAGCATTAAGGCATGTTGTACACACCACCAGGGAGTAATGTATACTTATTGGTACTATGAAGTCATCCATGGGCTTTTTTGATGGTGTTGCTCTAACGTTATTGGTAAATGGAGCGTCTGGAAAAATCTTTAGGAAATGTGATCAGAATGTATTTTTATCAACAGTAAAACAAGGATATTTGTACTTCTAAACTGACACAAAAGTTGCCTTAAAACATTTAAAAGCAGCTGATGGAAAGTGTGTTATTATACAGCTGAGCTCTGTGGATTTAATCAACCATGTAATAGATCAATCAATGATATGAACAACCAGCAATTATACAAGCAGTATGCAAATTATACAGGTCATTGGCTTTTTTAGCAGTAGTTTCTGTAATACATTAAACATGCCTCCGTGAACCATTTATATTTATTTCCATCATTTATTAATCAAGATTATTTAGTTTTTAGGGAAAATGGATTCTGACCTGGAGCAACCTGTGACGGACTTTAACAGACATGCTATTCTCAAAAAAAAAACTTTAATATAAAACAGCAAAAATTTCCAAAAAGTGCAGTTTGCATCCCTACACAAATGGATGATCATGAAGCGTTATACAGTTCTTTTATAACTTCTATGTGTGAGTGTGATCATTGGCATCTATTAAAGTACATACTAAAGTCTATTTTGACTTTCTTTTAGGCTATATTTAGATACAAACACCTATTTAACTACATTGATCCATTGGTTGTCATTAATATCAAATATACAGATCAGTTAGAACTATGTTCCACTATTAAAATAGCAGACCACCCATAAACATCGTTTAGAGGTATTTCATGGGAGATCAAATGTTAATTAGGGGACAAACCAATCATTGAATATCACAAATTAGAATTTGTGGACCTAATAAAAAAAACATTATCCAGTGAAAACTGTCATTTGAACTGTGGCAGGGCTAAACTGCTTATTGCATCATAATCATAACCACAAACTAATAACAATATGAATCAAACTGTTAAGATTTATAATTTTAGTCCACTGACAGTTTCCTAGTCAATCCTATATTCCAATGACATTATACCAGAACTTCTCTGTCCTGTCTTTAGGCACTCAAGGCAGTGACCTGTAAGCTCCTGACATGCCCTTCCAAAGTATCGGTTGCTATCTTTGACACCTGAATCTGCAGGTGGTACAAGTAGGAGTTGACAGAAAATTCACAGTTTCCAAGTTGTAATGAGGATGTGAATGCTTTTCAGTTAGAATCTTATAGTTATGATATATTGCCTGACATGCCCACTTCCAATCATCAATGCTTGGGACGCTGGAAATAACCTGCTCTGTATTGAAACGAATAGAGACATTCCACTTTGTCATTGATATAGTAAACACAACTTTAAGCTAGTGTCACACTGCACCTGTCGCCCCATAGGCTTCCATTAATGTGCATGTGAATGTGGCAGACAGAAAACAAGCTTGTGCAACAGATTTCGCAGTTCACTCCATTGGAAGTTCAAGCTTGGTGCATAATCACTGCATAATCACATCACACGATTGCATGAGACCAATCAAAGATATAAACATTACTTCTCTGGACAGAAATTTAAAATATGGACCAATCGTTTGCTTTTTTTAATGTCTAATCATCTGGTTTAATCCCACCCCTTTTTTGCTGCGCTCTACAACAGAATTTTGCACGCACAAACTCTAAGTTGATCACGACATCAGTATGTACAAAACCTCATTCATACACTATATAAAACTTGTTATTGTACTTAATGCTGGGGTGCCAAAAAAATGTGTAAATAACGGCTGTTAAATTACAGAAGTTTACCGTAAAATACCAGACATTAAATTACAGAAATTTCTGTAAATTTAAAATACCAGTAAATTTAACGTTTATTATTTTACAGTAAAATTCTGTAATTTAATGTTTGTTATTTTACAGTAAATTTCTGTTATTTGAAGTTTGTTATTTTACAGTAAATCTCTGTAGTTTAAAGTTTGTTATTTATGGTAAATTTCTGTAATTTAATGTTTGTTATTTTACTGGAAATTTCTGTAATTTAAAAAGTTTGTTTTTATAGGAAATTTCTGTAATTTAATGTTTGTTATTTTACTGGAAATTTCTGTAATTTAATGTTTGTTATTTAACAGGAAATTTCTGTAATTTAATGTTTGTTATTTTACAGGAAATTTCTGCTATTTGAAGTTTGTTATTTTACAGTAAATCTCTGTAGTTTAATGTTTGTTATTTATGGTAAATTTCTGTAATTTAATGTTTGTTATTTTACAGGAAATTTCTGTAATTTTATGTTTGTTATTTTTACAGGAAATTTCTGTAATTTAATGTTTGTTATTTTTACAGGAAATTTCGGACATTATTTTAAGTTTTTTCCTGGCAGCCAAAAACAAAAAAAAAAAACAACATAAAATAACATTTTTTTCAGTGTGCATTTCTGTATTATCTGTTCACACTCAGGTGACAGTTTAGAGTTTTTGGCCTTTTATTTTAAGCTTGCTACATTTTCATATAATTCTCAACATCATACAAAAATTGCCATCTCAAAGAGTCGCATTCCCCATGTTTGCATCTAAACTAACAGATGCTTTTACATGATGAAGGCTCAATAAGACAAAACTCATGTTGAGCAAGTGTGCGAGTAACCATAACCAATGTGTCCTGTATGCAGACATTAGCTGGCCCACTCTCTTTAGTGCACTGTGTCAGCTTGTTTCTCTCCAGGCTCTGACTGTCACAGCACTGCTGGAGATTAGACTGACAGGGCCTTAATCCCATAGAGTTCCTCAGTTCCCCATGCCAGACCAACGCTGTGCCAGGCCTGTACCCGACGGCCAGACAAAGGGTTGCATGGCCTGAGATAAAGAAAACTCCATTAAGCCAGAGGCTAGATAGAAGTACTACATCAGAAAAGAGACTGACTGAATAAACCGCAGTATAGCCAATGGCAATTTTAAGTTTGATAAGACACAAAGCAGTCTTTAACAGCGAACTAGAACGACAGCTGGTGGAGCCTCTGGGACTTTAAGCCAATGAACGTTATGTCAAAAGCAAAAGCGAAATTAGTGCTTTTTGCAAAAATCATTGTTTGAATGTCCATGTCTCTGACTGTGCAGGTGGAGAAAAAACAGAAAAGGTACATCACACAAAGTGTCACATCACGGTTTAACACAGCGGACAAAGACAGAGTTTACAGGCCAATGCCCAAGTCAGAGATGTTGAGCCAGGATGACCCCAAATCACGCCCAATGCTGTGAGTACATGCTCTTATTATTGTGTTGACAATGCAGATTGAAGCACTTTACTCCTGGTTATAAAGGTCTTGCTGGTTATGACCATTTTGTTCTGTTAAGTTCATTATTAATTTGGTATAAGCATATGCTCAATTAAAAGCACTTAATAGGCCATAGCCATTAGCGAGTAACTACTTCAAAAACTATTTTTTCTTATATTTTTTGTCTATGTAAACAGCAACTTTGTCTTGCTGCTTTTCAAATTCAACTTTTTTGATACACTGTGTTAAGTTAAAGCCAGTTTGCAAATGGAAGTTTGGTATTTTCTTACTTCTAGTGATGTTTATCTGATTACATTACCAACAAAAGAAAGAAAAAAACACCACAATTTAGCATGCAATTATCAAACCAAAAAAGGCTTCAATTTAATGAAATATGTGCAATGTGTTTTAGAGTGAAGCAAGACACTGTGTTCTTATACATTATCCAGTTCATTCACAATGAATACTGCTGCACACAAACTCCTCTGCCTCTGCTGTGATTAAAGGTCTTTCAGCATGCATTTGGGAATGCAACATGTACTATGCACCAACTATCTTTTGACTTGTAATGAGATTACAATACAGAATAAGAAAAAAAAAACTCACAATAGGGGGAAAATGTGGGACAGGACTTAATTTTGTCCAACAGAAAATGATTTGATCACTGCCCAGAGCTGATTTGTTTTTACTGTAATTTTTAGAGTAAAAAAAAATCTCTCCATGTTTTATAGCCTTCCACACTCTTTTTTTCACTTGGCTGCATCTTGAGTTTTTAAATAAAAGAAAACTGTCTTAATTGACTAGTCAAGTTGTTAGCACCATGCATCACAGGAAGCAAACACACGGATGGCAAAAGCAAACCACAATTAGTGCTAGTAAACACTTATAGTGTACTGTAAAATCCATCCATCCATCTAAACAGTGATTCCCAAAGTGTTTGTGTGTGTGTGAGGGGTAGGGGTGGTGGGAAGAGGTGTCGCTTGGTGATATTCCCAAAATATCATACATGTAATGAAACTATTAGAATTACAATATTTTATCCATAACATACAGAAGAAAAAAATACTATTTAATAGTTACAGTACATAAAAACAACATGCAAACAAAAAAAACATCAGCCTTTCAATTCTTTTTCCATTGAATGGAGACCCCTGTGGTTATTACGCTAGATAAATGGCACAACAATAGTGTTAGTTGCAACAGATAGATTTTATGGCACAATGTTAAACTTTGACACTTTTACGGCACTCACATACATTAAAAATTGATATGATTGTTGCACCTTTTTTTGTGTTGTCAATAAGCTTGGTTTTATAGTTTCTATTGGTGTGTGTGTGTGCATGTGTGCAATGTTTGTATGTTTAGAACCACCTCAGAGGATAGTGGGGAACCCCCTGTATTAAGGGATAGTTCACACAAAATTATTATTTACTTATTATTTACTCTTCCTTAAGTGGTTCCAATCTTGTATCTGTTTCTTGATTAATTAACAATTTTCATTTTTGGCTGAATTAACCATTTAAAGGACTATGTAGAATTCAGAAAACCTTGTGTTTTTATCAAAACCTGTCATGTGGCTGTCATGTGAACTATAGCCTAGTGCTTGAACCTGTGAACAAGTAACAGACAGAACGTGATTATATGCCTATGCTTACTGTGATAATTGTTTGTTCTTTGATTAGAAGTAAAAAGTACATTTGCAAAATTCATTAATGAATCTCCAGGCACAGTTCACATGCTGAAAGCAAAGTTCTTGTATACCTTGGTATAATGCTCTGAAAGAAGAAGCACGTGTAAACATCACATCATTTTAATTTTGCCAGCTAAAACATCCAGAGTCATTTCACTGCAAGTTTGTCACGCATTATTGCCAATAAAATAAGTGATTAAAACACGAGAATGCTTTTTTTATGTGTGTTTAGAGAACTACGAGAGAAGCTCCAGCCAGAAGTGATCGAGCTGATTAAACAGCAGAGGCTGAACCGTCTGTGTGAGGGCACTTGTTTCAGGAAGATCAGCGCTCGTCGCAGACAAGGTCAGTTACCCGTTCAAAACAGGGCTACAATTACATGTGCAGTTTTAAACTCAGTTACATTAAGAGACTAATTCAGACTGCATGGGTTTACTTCCAATTTCAGAAAACATGCAGTTATGAGACCAGCAAAGACACTGCATTATACACCGCAGCTTATCATCATGTATAAACACTAACTGATTGGAAACACTGATGTCTTTCTATGCACATTTTTTATATAGGACAACACAAGTTTAAGTTCCCTTGTCCACCTTATTCTAATGCTCATACTATCTGTTTGATACAGGATTTAATTAAAACACAACTTATGGATACCAATATATAAATAAAAAGGAAAATCTCATTCTGTATTTGAGGCATACAACAGCCTATGCGAGGTGAAGAAAACAGCGTTATTATTGTTCTTGCTTTGTTTCAAACCATGTTTTCTTCAAAACCATTTGATATAAATTATTCATCACATATTCAGCATGAAAGGGCAGTCGGTTAAAGGGGCACACTTAATGATGCTTTTAATGAGAAATGATTTACTCAGGTCACTGATGCTTTAATTAAAATCTGACATCCACTAACTTTGTCAGAATCAGAATCGATTTTATTGCCAAGTGTGCTTTACACACACAAGGAATTTGTTTTGGCTACAGAAGCTTCCAGTGTACATAAAGTGACGCTGACAAGTGACAACACAAAATAAATGAGAAAAATACGACAAACATTAAACAAAGATGCAATTAGACAAAACAACCCTGAATGATGAATTGTATGTACAAATCTGTTATAAATATACAAGCTAAAAGGTGCTGTGCACAAATGCGTATGAGACAGTATTGCATTATTTGAGGTTTTGTAAGGTTTGTTGTCATCTTAGTAGAAAACTAAATAGAGGATCTGCACTTATGCCAAGATTTCATCAATAGGGTATATGTACAGCTGCTGTTTCTTCCCATATTGGTAAACTTCCAGTGAACGGTTAATGTGACTTAACAATTTCATAAGGTTCTTTTTATAGCATTGATATTGTAATGTTAATAAAATAGAATCAGTTATACAGACTAGCATTCAATTAGTTGTTCAAGTGTAAAATGAGATGAAAAGCTGTTTACACGCAAGTGCCCATCAGGATCAGCAGGCAAGCACAGAAACTCCATTGAAAATACTGGAGTAAAATAAAGTTCATATTTTAAAAGACATGACACAAGAAAATTTAATTTAAATGCAGTGCTTTGTGTGCAATCTGAGACCCACTTTATATTGTATATCAAGCAGGTAGTGGAGATCATTAATCTTCAAAGAAAATAGACCTTAAACGCGTCAATTTTATACTTTAACTAAACAGTTTACTGGAAGTGTTTGACCCAGGTTGCTGCAAAATTAAAAGTCTTTCTGCATACTCCTGCATATACCCCATTACCTGTATGTGCAGCTTTACTCGGATGTAAACAACAGTATAGATTGCATGGTTAATGTATAACTGAACTCGTTGTTCTGCCAATTTATGCTGTCTAAACCATGGGGGGAAAGCATGGAAAAGCTCCAAATCATGCAAACAAATACTTGGTAAGCAGAAAGGGGTGCAACATATTGGCAAATTGAATTTAAAAGGTGGTAAAAGATATGTATGAGCTTTATTAATTAAGATATTTCACTTTCAGGACCAGAAATGATAAGGTTAAACACGTCACGAATGGTCTTAAGATTCTTGCCCTGGTTCAGATTGGTTTACCAGAAACACTTTTTGTTCCTCACAGTTTTTTCCTAACGTTTAGCAGTCTGATCCAAATGTTTTTACAGTCCTAACAATTAGTACAGCCCAAAATATCACAATAATGAATAGGGTTTGTCAGCAGTAACAAGAACTTTTTTATATGTTCAGCATCAATGTTTCTGTTGAGTGGGTCCAATATGGCTGATTGATGAGATTGAGGTAAAGTTGGTTTTAAATTTGTGCACTTATTTTTGATAGTGACAACTATCTATCTATCTATCTATCTATCTATCTATCTATCTATCTATCTATCTAGAGAGAGAGAAAGAGTTTACCACACTACTTTAAATATTCACTCTGAAAATACATGCAAGTATGACTTCAAACCAACATTAGCACTGTTTAATTGACTGTTGTAGTTTGATAGTCATTGGCTGATAATATGATTTCCCTATTTAGAATTTGCAAAGAACACAGTAAAATATGACAGCAATGGATTATTATAAAGTTAATAAAAAGACTAAACAAAAACTGACTGGAACAAAGCAGTGGTTGAGAATCAACACAAACTTGTCATTTATGACATCCATAACACTGGAATTGATCATTTGTATGTGACATTTTCAGTAAAATCTCAAAACATAAATTGACAGAGAAAGTAGATGTTTGGATTATATTGAAACATCTGTTTATATTTTCCAAAACAACCAACCACAGAGTTATTGGATCTTATAGATAACAATCTGTAAACATTTTTTATAAACATGCGTTATAGATGTGACCCAAAAAAAACTCCATAGTATACAACATAATTTGTAGTAATTCTGTGAATTAAACTGGAAAACCTCTATTTTATTTTACAATATGCTCCAATATGGATGTGACGTCTCTTTGTTATAGATGTGACATATGTTAAATTGTGACTTTGGTAAATCAAATATAATTGTTAAAAACATTGACAGAGACATTTAAGTTTTTACAGGACTGTAAAATTCAAGCCAACACAAAATACATAGAAAGGGTTTTGCTATTTTGGAGAAAATTTAATGTTTTTGATGGCAAGGTTGACATTTGCATGAAATGCTCATATGTTTGTCTTTATACTTCTTCCCTAGACAAGTTCTGGTATTGCCGTCTGTCACCAAACCACAAAGTGTTACACTATGGAGATATAGAAGAGTTCTCTCAAGGACAAATATCACATGACTCTCTCCAGGACAAAGGTATAAGCAACACACCTTATGCCAGTTATTAATGAAAACTCCCGTCTTGTGACTTTTATACCACCCGTGTAATTTAGTTAATTAAATATTGATTGCTTATGTCATACAAAAGCACCATAAAGTAGGTGGTGTACATGCTTTATAAATGTTCAAAATAGAATAGCTTTGTGAGGCATAGGCCTAACATTCCATCCTTTTCCACATTCAGTGACAGTAGCAGATATCAAAGCAGTGGTAACAGGTAAAGACTGCCCACATATGAGGGAGAAAGGAGCACTTAAGAATAAGGTAAGAATTAATTACTGTAAAAGAAACTTAAGTAAACTCACCAGGTGTTGTGGATCCAAACATAAAGCATACAAGTTATTTTATAGAAAAAAAATGTCCAGGTTTTTCATCCCAGCTTGATAACCAGCAAAACCTCCTCATCTTCAAAACAACGTAAAAGCACAAAAGTGGAACACAAACATCCATATAAACAGCTGAAAACAATTAGTCCAGCAATTAATCGTTAATGTCAGTCAAGTCCACGTGACGCCATCTAGTGGTTAGATGTGTGTAAAGACATAACTAATGTGGCTTATTCAAGTCTAGTTGCATTTTTTATATAAATAATACAGCAAAAACAACATATAAAAATAAATACATTAGGGAAAAAAATGGCTTTCAGATCTTTCCATTCAGATACTATACATTCAGAGGCTATACAAAAACAAAAACATGTAGCTTACAGAGAGAAACCAAAGTAGTCCAATTGTAAGGCACTTTTAGTTCTCAAAACGTTCTGGGAGTATTTTCTGATGGTTAATCTGAAAGGTTTTCTTTATGTAAACAGAACGTTCAGTCTAGGTGGTCGTAAACCCTTTCAGATTCTCTTTAACTTCTCTTTTTAATAAAATACCTCCATATAGCAATCAGATTAGACTTTTATTCTCCCAATATCACTAATTGAATTGTTGTTATTAATTATTTTTACTCGTTAAATGTCTTCACATAGGCCTAATTGCCTATTCTTAATATCAACAAAATGGTATTAATATTTTTTAAAATGGTAATTTTTAATATCAATAATTTGAATGTTACTAAAGTTAATTTATGATATTATGAATGCAATTGTTACTAGTAATTGTAATTGTTACTAAGATAGCCATTTTTAATCTTTAAATTATATATTTAAATTATATATTTAATTATATATTTTAAATATATTCATATCAGAAATGGATTTCAGATGTAAATAACTTGTGTAACATGTTGAAGTACATTTTGTGATATCAAGAATTTCCATTTTAAATATCAATATAATTCTTGATATCAGTCATTTAAATTCTTACTAGCAGTAATTAAATTGTTGTTATAGACATAAGCATAGACATTTGCACTTGTAGCCTCTTCATTACTGATATAAAAAATAACGGCCTTTAAAAGAATAAAGATATGTGTTTCTGATATGTATAAGATTTTTTACTTCAAAGAATTCCATTTTTGATATAACTTAAATTTGAATAGCAGCATATGGTGACATTTAACTACAGTGAAAACACGAATTCCTGTTATCAAAAATGGAAATTGTGAAATTTAATTGTTCATATAAAGAATTAAGTTTGGTACTAGTGGAAATGCATTTTTTTACATAAACAATTTAATTTTTGATATCATTGTATTTCCTAGTAATTAATTAAAGTCAAAATTATATTTAATACTTAATATAGAAAATGCAGTTCCTGATACCAACATTTTAGTAATCAACAATCAGCATTTTCATAACAAGAACTGTTTTTCTGCAAATGATGACATCATTGTTGATATAAAGAATTAACATTGTGAATTGTTGGAATGTAATTCTTGAAATCAAGAATTAGATTTGAACAATTCTTCATATCAACAATGGTAAAAATTTGAAATCATGAACTCATCCTGAGAATGAATAAAAGCCGAAAGGCCTTGCCATAATGAAGCATTTTTCAAGAGTTCATACTTAGCTGATGATTGATTATAAGCAAGTTTGGCATGCTGTCCCGGGAGAGAGCCCTGAGCCCAAAAGGTCCTTGAGCCCTGGGCTCCCTCCAGTTTGCAGGGCGAGAGTGGAGCTTTGAGCTCAGGTAGATCTCGACAACTGAGAGATGATGACTAAAATGAATGCTATGAAGAGATATGCTGCAGGATGAGAGTTTGACTGTAGTGCTAAATTTAGATTGATCAATTCACTTGTAGTGCATGTTTTTGAAATGTAGGAGGAAACCGGAGAACCCGGGGAACACCCACACGAGCATGGGAAGAACATGCAAACTACGCACAGAAATGGCCGCCGGCCTGGTAAAGGACTAAACCGGTGGCGGTGACGTTCTTGCTGTGAGGCAACAGTGCTAACCACTGGGCCACCGTGCCGCCCTATGAAGGGAAATTTAAAGAAATAAGGATGAAAGGGGGGATTCTTCAAATCAAAGATGGCTATAGTGAGAAACCAGGGCACTTTATTGTAGGTTAGGACTGGCCTGATTGGTGGATCATACGTAGCTAATGCAGAACCAGCCGTGTTCAATCATAATCACGTGATCCTTTCGAAATTAGTTTATTAAAAACTTCATTTTGTATTATTAAAATTCCTTTTTAAAATGAATTTTAACACCAGATCCTTATGTAGCTTTAAAACTGAACCCAGCTGTTTTTAACGGTTAAAAAAAGACATCTGCTGTGTGCACCTGTAATAAAGTGCAAATGGGATTTGGCGAACAGGAAGTGAGGTCAGGTACTCTCGGGTACCAGGGCTTGACAATTGTTTAACTTCCTCTGCTTTTCAGGAGTTGCTGGAACTGGCCTTTTCCATTCTTCATAACTCTGATGAATATTTAAACTTCATCGCTCCAGACAAGCACGAAGTGAGTAAAGGATCACATTTATACCATAAAAAGATCATACAATGATTATTTTGGTCTCATGGAAAGGTAAAGAGTAAAAGATTTGACTCATACACTGCTAAATTCATTCAGTGTCTTTACTAACTGGAGCGCAATTATATTTTCCCCACTAGTACTGTATATGGACTGATGGTTTAAATGCTCTTTTGGGAAAAGAGATGACAACTGAGCTCACAAGATCAGATATGGACACACTGGTTACTATGGAGCTGAAACTTCGCCTTTTGGACCTCGAAAACATTCAGATTCCTGATGTCGCTCCTCCTGTTCCCAAAGAGCCCAGCACTTACAATTTTGTTTACGACTTTACCCAGCAGCACAATTGAGACTGGAAATGTCCATCATCAGCTGCAAGGATGTATTCACCTTCTTCTCTTTTATTCTATTATACGTCTATCCCTATTATATGGACGGAATCATTTTTTTCTCCTCTAGATTGTGACTATGATGTGATGCTTTAGTTTTATATTCCCTGTAAATTACTGCTATGACTTCACTGAGGAAAACGACAGTGATATTTCTTTTTAGTCACCTGTTATAACAAATACTCAACTTGCTATCATGCACAACATTTTGTGTAACTATGTGTACATGAAAAAAAAAGTGAAACTGCATTTGTTTCATACTCATACATAAAACACCACACATAACTCATTCTTGGACTGTTACAAATGTGCTAGTAATTTGATAAAAAGATAAACTAAATCATCCTGAAAAATAAAGTGACAGTTAATTATAGAGACTACTTTCTGCCATTGAATAAAAAAAAAAAATCAAAAAGGTAATTATGACTTCTGACTTTGTTGCTATTGCAAGTTAACATTTGTTAAATCAGACTTTTGCTGATTTTGTTGTGATTTTATATTTTGCAGTTAACTTAAAATTTGCTGAAAGTTAATTCTACTCATTTTAAAAACGTTTTGAACTCAGTGTTGAAGGTAATGAGTCAATTAAATACCTCATTACTTCAACTTAAATGGAGTAAGTTCACAGTACTCATATAGATTAGTTTTTTAACTCATGGTTTGTGCAATCGGTTTTCAGAAACTGTTAGAGTTAACTTATTTGGTTTTACAGTACTCAGTTGGTTTAAGTTCTCTTCATTCGTTGGCTTTTACTGTGCTTGAATTGCTTCATTTACTCAAATGGATTAAGTTCACAGTACTCATTAGGATTAGTTTTTGAACTTAAATGTTTTGTTGCAATCGGTTTCCTTGGTTTGAGTTACCTTAACTTTTTGGGTTTTACAGTGAACAGGCTAAGAAAACAATATGATGAAATAAATCAATTCAACTACCCCCACCCCCTCCCCTGCTGTCTCTTTAAACTGGGGTATTTAATGAATAAAAGTTAACAGAAACAAAAAACAAATACAAAGTACAGTATCAAGTATCAATTATACAAAATAAGGCAATCATTCTGGATCCTGATCATTGTTTTGTGCAATAAACATGGAGATTTTGTCAGCAGCTGATGTCCAGATCTTTAATGTACTCATTTGTACCAAGTTCACTCGAACTGTGGATAATTACAACATTATATTGTCCTGAAGTTGTACCAACCACTTGTACATGCCCAAAGTATGTGGAGACAGGCAATGTTGGGCTAGTCATGCCCATAGCCAACCTGGTGAAAGAGGTGGTTTATTTTTCTCAAGAAGTGGACCTTTTTGCAGTTATTCACCTCATTTTCTATTTAATTGTGAGATTTTAATACTGAATTTAGGTGACATTTTAAGCACAATTTTTTTTTTAGCTCAAGTAGCTTGTCGGATGGTTGTGATAACCACACTTTTTGATGCACCAAAAATGTTTACTAAATATTTAGATTAAAGAAATATAGCAAATATTTATTTTTAGAACACAAATTTATTACATCGTATTTCATAAAAAAACAGTTTTAAATTAAAAACTGTAGTTTATTGTAATTTGAATAATAAAAAAATTAAAACGTAATAATAATAATAATTTAGAGCATCACAATTTTTGTAAACACTATTGTAAAAAAAAAATACATTTGAAAATTCTTAGATAACAACAATTGCCAAATAAGTATTCAAATTTATTTTAATATGGGTCACTTTTGGTGCTTCACACTTTTTTTTGTCATGTTTTCTGTTAAGAATAAGGTCCAAGATTTAGAAAAAAGTTTCTTCATTCATTCATTTTCTTGTTGGCTTAGTCCCTTTATTAATCCGGGATCGCCACAGCGGAATGAACTACCAACTTATCCAGCAAGTTTTTACGCAGCGGATGCCCTTCCAGCTGCAACCCATCTCTGGGAAACATCCACACACACACTCATACAATACGGACAATTTAGTCTACCCAATTCACCTGCACTGCATGTCTTTGGACTGTGGGGGAAACCGGAGCACCCGAAGGAAACCCACATGAAGGCAGGGAGAACATGCAAACTCCACACAGAAACGCCAACTGAGCCAAGGTTTGAACCAGCGACCTTCTTGCTGTGAGGCGACAGCACTACCTACTGCGCCACTGCCTCGCCTAAAAGTTTCTTGTCAAATGTTTTCTCTTTTTAAAAACAATACATTAGCAAAACATGATATCTCTTATGTGTCAGATGTTTTCTTGCACAGCTGGATGTTGGACTCTTGAAAAATAATTGTTTGCATCGACCAAAACTGATTAACTAAAGTCACTCCAGGATTCCGCTTGATCTTAAAGCCTTTTCGATGGGTTATTTTTACTATTTATGTTGGCATAGCAGGGCTGCATGGTGGTGCAGTGGGTAGCACGTTCGCCTCACAGAAAGAAGGTCATTGGTTTGAGCCTCGGCTGGGTTAGTTGGCGTGTCTGTGTGGAGTTTTCGTGTTTCCTCCGGGTGCTCTGGTTTCACCCACAAGTCCAAAAACATGTGGTATAGGTGAATTGGGTAGGCTAAATTGTCTGTAGTGTATGTGTGTGAATGAGTGTGTAGATGTTTCTCAGTGAAACAAACATATGAGCTGGAAGGGCATCCGCTGTGTAAAACATATGCTGGAAATGTTGGTGGTTAATTCCGCTGTGGCGATCCCAGATTAATAGAGGGACTAAGCCAAAAAAAAATAAATTAATGACTGAATGTTGGCAGTCAAAATAGGACAAATGAGCATGAGCGGTACAAATTCTGGATTTTTGTCAGTGAGGGGTGGGTCTTCTGAACCGCTACAGGCCTGCTAGTAGTATTTTGCAGAAGTTAAGCCAGCCAAACAGCTTTTTAAGATAAGAATATTGTAATGGCTTAGTGGAAGATAATTTGATCACAGACTATTTTGTTCTTTAAGATAAAAAGGTCTTTGGCATACTAACATTCTTTATCATCAAAAACATGATTATGACACTTCCAATTGCTGAATCAACCCAACTCTAATATCATTCATATTGACATGGTTTGGATAGACTCCCTTGGTCTTAAGAATGCTAGTGCCATTGAAGAGCCATTCCGGACATTTTGGAAACATTCAACTGTACTTCATCTACCCAGATAGATCCTTGTACTTATGATAGTTGAGAAACATTGATTCCAGGCACAAAACATTGTGCCTGTTCCAAATAAACATTTACTAAGAATACCATGAATGATTTAGCACAAGCTGATATTTCAGATCTAACACAAAAATACAAGTAGCATGACATCTTTAATTTGTTTGTCACAAAAAAAGTGTATAAAACTACACACAATCCAAATTAAATCTTTATAATTATCTATCCTAGGGAGTTTTATTACTGTTTACTAGGGGGTGGTTCTTTATTTCTATAAAGTAAAAATTCGATATAAATTCTATTTTTATTTTTATTAAAATGACATGTTCTACGTTTTGTTTGTTGAAACCACGGCAGTTTTATTTTCTGTATAAATGGAAAGCAAATGACATTCGTCTTCTCCCTTTTTTGCTCATCCGACATAATGGTCTGATCAGTGACTCAAAAACCGCAGTGTGATCCGAACTGTGAGATTTGTGATCCGTTACACCACTACTATTTACGATCACAGAGGAGAACTTTGTGATAAACTGTTCCAATGAGCACTTTTCCTCTATATGGAGCTGCCACTGATGAACCAATGATCACACTGCCATTATCTGAATACACCTGAGTCACCAGAGGCTTTTCAGAGTGGATGTTCTCAATCTTGATTACCTATTGGAGGAAGTGGAATCATTATTCATTTTTAGAGGATACTGCTTCATAGCTGTGAAATAATGGAAAAAAATTAAGAATATGAACATCAGATTTCATATAACAAATTCTAACAAATAAATAAATTCTTAAACACTAGCAAATTCAATAAACACGCTAAAAAAAGGAGTACTTTCTATAATTAATATGTATTTCCAGCAAATATAGAAAACAAATTCACAATAAGACACACCTCAGAACCAGGTGGATCATTTGGATCACCAAGCATGAACTTGAAACCATTTGGGTGGCAACCAATCCACAGATCTCCAGACTCACGGTCTAGCTCTATGTTGTCAGCGAGTGAGCCCACATTAATCTCCTGAATGAGAAAAAAATGAACATGAAGTCATATTAACAGTACTAACACAAAGGATTTTGCCACACCTGCCTGTGGCTGGAAACCCAAGTTAAAAACAGCAGTGGATATTTTCACTGGCAGTGGTACGGTACGGTTCGGTTTCATATGCTTTTATGACCATTTCCACTGTCAAAAGGCGTACCGAACCGTACTGTACCACTTTTTCGGCACCCTTTCGAAAGGGTACCAAACATGAGAAAATGTACCAAAAGGCGGAGCTAGACGCGCAGCTAAACGCTATTGGTGTACAGAGATACGTCATTCGTTTACTCAACAAGCCAAAATAACAACAAAAGAGCCACCATGTTTAAAATAAACAGCCAAGAGATCTTTTACAGTGTAAATATATATATATACATATAATAACGAGCCATGGTCGACCCGGGCACAAAAAAACCTTCTTGTCGTCACAATGCCAAAAAGAAGAGCAGATTTACCCTGTTTCGCTTCCTTCCTTGCCTTCACCGCGCATCTATATCTGAAATAATAAACTTCTTGAGCTCATGATAATAACATGCGCTTGATTATTGACGTGCTTTTAAAACCCAATCCTGTCAGAAAGTGACAAACGCGAGACTGAAGCGTGAAAAACAAAGAAAAAGCCGAAAAAAGGAGCACATTATTTTTTCAGCACACCTGAACAAATTGCCATGTTTAACTATTATTATCATCACCTTTTGGACTATTATAAACACAGAATGATGGAATCGCTCTCTAACAAATGTCACACATGCTGCTGAAGATTACAGGCACAGATGTGGGGTTTGCAATGACTGTGAGCTATATTTCGTGTTGTTTTTGAACCTAATTAAGGACTATATGTCTGTTGTGTGTAGTTCTTCTGAAGTTGGTAACATATCGGAGACTCTAAGGGTCTGTATGTGTTCATATATATTCATTTATTTATTTAATATATTAACACACGTTACAGTAGGCTATTTCGCAGTCATTGACCTGCAGTTATAATCAAATCCTGTTTATAGAAAAGTTAGAAATAAGCATTTATACACAAGTATTTATGTGTGTTTTGTGAGAAGGGCTTCTCATATGATATGTAAGCGACCCGTACAGCTTTACTGTAGACATTTTCTTGAGCTAAAATGATGTCGACAGAAACTTTGTCATACACCACGCCCACCAAAAGGGTACCCTTGGTAGTGGAAACGCAAGCCTGATAAAGGTGGCCCATACCCACCCGAACCGTACCGTACTGTACCAGTCAGTGGAAAGGAGCCATTACTGTACAGTCTGTAAACTATGCAGTTGTTATGATTTATATAACTGTATTTTGGCTGAACTAAAAAAAATTCCAATTTATATAATAATTACTTATTTATAATAACCGCAATATGATTACTACAACTACTGTTTATATATTTTTTGTAATGTGAACCAGAGTTTTTGCAGAACCCACAGGTAAATTTCTGTGAAATATTTCTGTTTTGTCGACAACAGATTTAAACTATTCTATGTTGTTACCAATATATATATAGGCAAATAGTTCAATATCTTGTGTTTACCTTGACACGAGACAGCACAGTGTTTTTCTTTATTTCCAGCACAGTAACTGTGTGCTTCAGAACATCTGACACATACAAATACCTGAAACAAATAATAGCTACTTGCAATAAACACACGAAGACTAAAAAGGGACAGTTCACCCAAAAATGAAAATTCTGTCATCATTTACTTGTTGCAAACCTGTTTGAAATCTGGAAAGCTTGTTTTTCCTACTACAGAAGTCAATTGTTCCAGATTTTCAGAATTTATTCTTTCGTGTTCAGCTCATAGAGGTTTTGAACCACTTTAGAGTAAGTAAATTTTTATTTTTTGAGTGAACCATATTTTAAGAAATGTATGTTGCTTGAATTTATGCACATTTTCATATTTATTTTTTAAACTTGCCTTTTATCAAGGGAGAGGTTTATGCCGTTGGCAAGTAAGAATCCATCTGCCACAACCTGCACAGTCTCAGGACTGTAATAGATGACGTCACACCACGGCAAAGTGAAGAAATTCTCCACAATCTTCAGAATCTCATTAGAGAAGTAATGATCATTGGTGGCATAAAAGCTTTCAGTCCCCACGGCCACTATATCATTCACACTGAGAAATGCACAAACAATATATCATTCCATTTCTGGTCAGTTTTATGGTTACAGTAACATTATGGTTTAAAGCTGCATGTACCTGTGCAGCAGCTCATGCTCGATGGTCTTGATGTATTTAAGAGCATGTTCATCCTTAACAAATTCAAAAATCTCCACTTGACTGTTGCCTCGAGGATGATTAATAACAAATAAGTACATGGTACCATCTGCAGTGTGAGAGTAAGAGGATGAATTCTAATTCTTTTTGCAAGCTCATTGAATTACATATTTGACCACTAGATGACTACTTTGTGCTTTTTAAATGTTTTGAATTCAGATAATTAGTTGCACATTCACACATATCAATGAAAAACAGCTAAAATGCTGTATTTTGCATGCCAGACCTGTAGATGGTGATGTTACTTTACCAAAGTAACACTATGTGCAAATGCACAAGAATGCATTCCAATCAGAGGGCCTCATCCCTATCCCCTAATCGCTTTGAAGGGCTTAACCTCTGAAGAGACAACTTAGAAGAGATTAGGGCATATAGATAAGGCCTTTCGGATAGAATGCACATGAGGTATGAGTTAGGGATTGTGTTTGTGGGCATGCCTCCTTTAATAATCATATGTAATTGAATGTAGAAATTAGCCATTTTTCTGAAAATATACGTAAAATAGTCATGCTTCCATGTGGAATCGGCCTGGTTGTACCCTTAGAAAACCTTTATTCCAAAGTGGTCAAGTTTGCATATTTCAGTTTGGAATGACATTTCAATATGAAAACCATGATGGCTTTTACTGAAGTAAAATTTATTATATATTTCTTATAAATGGCAAACCTTTGTCGTCTGTGTACACACTGATTCCATGGGGATTAAAAGTGTCTTGGTCAAAGTCTCCTTTGATGCTCAGTGCTTTGATTTTAGGTTCAGAATCCAACAGATTTAGTGTGTAGATCTTTCCAGGGTCATCTGAACAGAATGGTAAACCTGGAGCCTTCACACCCTATGTTTAGTTGATTATAAATCATTAGGCACTGTCAGAGTACAAATAGGCTACGCTAAACTATTCTCACACTCAAACATCTGAACGTATGAACTTTTCACTACTTGCACATTGCATTTTTGTTTGTATGAACACACAAATGACAAAAAACGACAAAAAAGGCAAAGCCTATATATAAATGCTAAATCCATAGTTTTGTGGATGTATTTACATACAAGATGGCTGTTTTTATTTAAGAATTTACTCAAGAGTTAATTGCATAGAGATGACTGGGGATAGTTTTAACAGTTTTTTTATTTTTACGTTTTTCTCTATATCTTTGAGATCTTTTAAGCATGTATGTTTGAAATGTATTTAAACTAGTTATAAGTACCTGCTAATAAATGGCATAAATGTTATTTATGCAGCACAAACTAAAAAATTCAGTTTAGTTTCAAACAGAAAGAGGAATAATGTTACAATTAACCCAATAGTCTGGGTTAGTTGTAACACCCTTGGGTGAGAAGTCACATTATGGGCCCTATAATACATCTGCCATAGTTTATGTGAATTATTTATTTATTTTTATTTCATTTTTTTGCTATTTTCAGAAAGGCACAGTTATCATTTTCATGTTTTGCAACACATGTGTTTAACAGCAAATCCATTTGTGCCACATTGTGGACTCATGGGTGTTCTGGTCTGAAAATAAGGTGTGTTAAGGCGCATTGTAAGTGCATTGCTATTTTGAGGCAACTCTTGCTATTTTTAATGAGTGCGTTATATATGCAGCTATGTTGGTCCAAACAAAATGTATTGGATACAAACAGAATGTACAACATTAAACAAATATGCTTACATATGAAAAAATTCAAGGATTAAAATGTTAAATGTATATATATATATATATATATATATATATATATATATATATATATATATACATTTAACATTTTAATCCTTGAATTTTTTCATATGTATTTGTTTTCATATATATATATATATATATATATAATTTTCTACATACAATAAAAACCACTACCTTCTACCATGCTTCTTCACTTGTGGGAGGCTTTGAAATTCGGCTATGTTGTAGTTAGTTTATTTATGACAATTTGCATTTGTTTAATGCTATTATTAGTGGTAGTTTTCATTATATTCATATTTATATTTGGTTTTAGAGATGTATACCATAAGGGCATAGGAATAGGAAGCGTGTTTGGATACAACTCAGTTTTTTGACCATACTTCGTTATTATTGCTTGCTTGAAATTAGGACTGAATATAGAAATAGTTTTAGAGAAAAAAAATTGCACATAACTAATGAAATTAATGGATGTCTTCAGTGGAGTGCGTACAACGTTTCCCTGCTCCACAAAAGTAAAGGAGTGAAGACTAAAAGGAAAGGTGTAGTTTCTGTGGATGGTCTTTAACTGTTTTTTCAGTAGTGAAGCATTCAGTTTATCGGCTGTGTAAATACCATGGCGTGACGCAACTGACTCTAGAAAACAGGAGATCACACTCTGGTTGGTTTAATGCATAATATGATCAAAATACACCCATAACTCATTAGGAGAATAAACACTACCCTTAAAGACTATGTACTGGTGCAAAGATCGTATTTTATTTGTCCGTAAAATAGTAAAAGAGGATTCAGACCCTTAGTGCTTTTGCGCCATCTAAAGCTGACTAAAATGTGCTTCAGCTTTAACAATTGAGCTCTATTTGTGTTTGCAGCTTCATGAGCCCAAAGAGGACAGGCAAAACATTGTCGATAAACCCCAACTATGTTGTCACCTCCCATTATCTCGCATCTGGTCTCATATGGACCAAAAAGCTGACTGATTCAAGGGTGTGCCTTCTGCAACTGCATGGGAGGGTTCCTTGTTCAGAATGCCAAACCCGGAAAAGTGTAAACAAATTAAGGTTTAGTACCATTATTACAGTAATCGTCACTCACCACGAAGGGATTTGTCCTGCAAATATGTCTGGTAATCTAATAATCCATATCTTTTGCATTTATTTGAGAAAAATAGCTAGACTGTTCCTTCTTGGGTTGTATTGCTTGCTCATGTCACTTCACTGTTACACACATGCTCTAATCTGTTGTTGAATAACCAGTGAGAGTGATGCTGATTCTACATGCTGAATCGGGTCAGTGAGCTCCGACATTAACCTGACGAGAGGCAAGCAAGTGTGGAACTCACCAAACCAACCAGCCAGACAAAGACTGACCGACGAAGCCCAATGAGGGGTCTGTATGCAGACCTGGTGTAGTGCAATTTGAGTTGCATTCAATGTTTTTTAACATTCTCACCTAACCCCACCCCTAATCCTACCCGGCCATCACAGTGACGTCACTCTCTCCATTGAGTGCATTCTGACATTGCATCGCTGAGTGATGCAATCTCAGCTTGCATCATAAAGACGATTGAGCCCAAAAGCGGACTGTTGGCTTGGTTTATCCCAACCCAAAAAACATTATCACCATCAACATGCATTAAAAATATCTACACACATAAATTACATAATTTAACTTTGATGAGCTTGACTACAATTCATGCATTTCACCATTCCAAAAATAAGACACAAGTAAAAAATATTACTAGCTCGAGTGTAGTTTTTCTGTTTAACATCTGCTGTGTCACAGGACTTTCCTTTTTGTGTATGTGGAATGAGGATTAATCTGAGCATGTGTGAAGTGAATCAACTGATTAGTTATAGAAATTGGAAGTGTTACAACTGACCCTTGTTACAACTTTCCCAGTCTTATGCTTAGTCATTGTGACATACCGTACTCAGAAAAGCTAGTCCATCGTCAATTATGGTGATATCTTCAGAACCACATTCTGTTTAAAATACGAACATTACACAGTGCATTGTGGAAAACACATCAGCACAGTAAGAAATATGACAATACAATAGCAGCAATGTGAAAATGAGGCGCTAATGAAAGGTGTACACTTACCAATGCCTTTTATTAGGTGACAGTTGGGAAGGTAATTCTGGGTTAGTTCTCTGTAGGAAAGCGCTACGTGTCTGCAGAGAAAATACAATTTAAACGATTTTACAATGGTGTCATGTAATAAATATGTAGCCCGTGCTCAAGTTTGCGAGTGTCACACAACTCCAGATAAAAATCGAAACGAAAATCTTTATTGCTGCACACGAAATTAAATTCCAATTCACGTTTATTGAATTGAATGTGGAAAGCAAATGTTGACAAACCTCAGTGTGACGAGCCTTTCTCCGATGAAAACTGCCAGAGCAACAACAGCTAACGAGAGAACTGCTAACTTACCCATACTGACTGACTGAAACACTCAAATACAGTTCATCAATACAAAAACGAAACATCAGTGTTGCCATGTGCTCGCATTTTACGCTCTTTGGACTACACTTGCATGTCTTATCTCTAAATCGAAGGAAACTTTGTTTCTTGGCCAGTATACAGATTATATTTTTATAGTATTATTCTGTTTTCTGCATAAACCTGAAAGACACTTAAACAGCATTTGTTATTCTTATTGACCAGAAGTTATAAAAGGCATGGCATATACAGTGGTTCTACAATATTTCTTTTTTCTATAGTTATTTTGGTTTATATTTTCGTGTTAGTTTAAGTCAGTGTTAGTTTTTATTAATTTTAAGTCATCGTGACGTCTTGGACACATCCTGGAAATGTGTTTAATTTCTGACAAGAGCCTGTCAGGGCCAAAAAGTACAATGCATTCAGTGGAAAGTACTGTTGTCTGACATCTGATAAATTGACTTTAATAACAGTAACAAAATTTGCTCCAAGTTTAGACGTTAGAAAAATGACCTAAGAAAGTTGTCAGCTGTGAAAATTGCATCATGAAGGATCTAGTGCCATTGTAAAGACTGAAAGATTATTCTTGCAATTAATGTAATTCAACATGCCATCTAAACTGATGTGCTTAACATGTTTTTTTTTTGTTTTGTTTGAAATGTTTTAAAAAAATATCACTTAATGTGTACAGGTTTTGCTCACTGCTGCTATACTGAAATTGAAATGAAGTGATTTAGACAAATTCTTTCAAAGAATTTTTATTATTAATGTTCATTTGTAAGTATCACTATTTAAGGTCACAGATGAGAGCTTTCTGATAAACTGTTCCGATGAGCAGTTTTCCTCTATATGGAGCTGCCACTGATGAGCCGATGATCACACTTCCGTCATCTGAATACACCTGAGTCACTCTAGGCTTTTCAGAGAGGATGTTCTCAATCTTGATTACCTATACAGTAGAAAAACAAGGACATGTTATAGATTTTTTTTAACTTAATAGTTTAGGGCTCAAAAAATAGTAAGAAAAGAACAGGATAGCAACTTATGACTCAAACATCAGCTCATCAAATTTGACCTTGGGTGTAATAAATTTGGCTAAAGCATTATGCTTGCTACATATTCACACACCTCAGAGCCAGCCGGATCATTTGGATCAGAAAAAAACAATTTATAACCGTTTGGATGACAACCCAGCCACAAATCTCCAGACTCACGATCCACCTCAATGTTATCACAGAGTGATCCCACATCAACTTCCTGAGTGAGAAAAATATAATATTAATAACAATCAAAACTATTAAGAACTTATTGTATCTGGTTGTTATCCAACAAACATACAATTCTAAGATTTAAAAAAAAAAAAAAAAAAGGTCAGTAAAAACAGTTCTGTAAATCAGCAGTAAATCTCCTACCCCTGCTTTCAGGCCACATTGTGATGCACTGTTCAAGTGAGTAAATTACATACAAAATCAGTGCACACATGTGAATAGATGCGATTGAATTTGTATCTGATGTGCAAGTTCAAATATTTTAACTTGAGTGGAAAACACACAAGGTGAAAAAAAAGTATTGTGTTGCCATGCTGGCCAACCAGAAAAGAGAAACCGCATGCACGCTGACATAATAATTTTAAAAAAATCCAGTTTAGTGGCCAGACCACCCCACTGTAACTGGAATTCCTGAAAAACCCTGAAAAATCTTTCTGGCTGGAGTTCTCAGAAAGGTTTGATTCGAGCACCTGTTATTTCTTTTTGGTGAGGGTGAACTGCCAAGCTACGTTAAAAAAACTGCAGTTTTGAAAATACCCATGTTCGTATGCACACGGCCTCAGATGGAGCATTTACTACAGAAGCGCAATTGTTCACTGACAAGCTAAGCAAAAGTTGCAGATGATTTAATAGTCATGATTATGAAATTGAATATAATCAATCTGTAATTTGACAGCTGTTTGCTTTACTTCTCAGCGATTCAGAGCTGTGCTGCAGCTGCATCTGAAAGAGAAAATGCTTCATGACATATAGTTTTACTCAAAACTCACTTCAAAACTTCAGATGAATGCCAAAAATAAGTAATTCTCTGAGATGATTCCGTAGTCGTGTGATTATCAGTCACGGTGAATCAATAAAAGCAGTTAAATCCTGTTTAATTTTCTGTGTCTCTTTGTTGCAGTGTATTTGCAGTTTCTGTGTCTGGCCTCTGGCCTTTGGAGGACATTACTACTGATCAAAGACAGGAAGCCGCACTTCCCTGATGTGAAGATGTGCATGATGGTTGCAGCTTTTGCTAAATCACAAATTTGATTCAATTTTGATTTATCGTACAGTCCTACCTATTATATGGGATAAAATTAGAAGTAACCTTTCATGTATTTTGAGTTTACCTTTACGTGAGACAGTTCAGTGGTTTTCTGTATTTCCAATACTGTAATTTTGTGTTTCATTAAATTTGACACATACAGATGCCTGAAATGAAATATTATACGTGTCATTAACACATAAACATAACATCACTCCACAATTTTTGCATTGATAACCTTATATTAATTTATTTCACTTGTAATTGCATCTTTTTCAGCTACTTACCTTTTGTTAGGAGAGATGTTTATACCGTTAGCAAATAAGAATCCTCCTGCCACAACCTGCACAGTCTCAGGACTGTAATAAACCACATCACACCACGGCAAAGAAAAAAGCAGCTCCAAAGACTTCAGAATGTCATTGGTGAAGTAATGATCATTGGTGGCATAAAAGCTTTCAGTTCCCACAGCCACTATATCATTCACACTAACAAATAAACAAACAATTAACGGTAAGTTGTATGGTTACAGAAAAGCTGTTTGCTTTTTAAAGCACATACCTATGCAGTAGTTCATGCTTAATGGTTTTGATGTGTTTAAGGGCATTTTCATGATTGACAAATCTGAAAATCTCCACTTGACTTTTGCCTTGAGGATGATTAACAACAAATAGGTATATTGCACCATCTGTAAAGACAGAAGAATTTATCAACCAATAAATAATCATCGATCAAAAATTGTGCAACAATCATCCATTTCACAATACCACTTTGCAACTACTTATAATTTGTGTTGGTGTTATAAATGAAACAGTAGCAATATGAGCACAGTTTATGCTGAATTCAATAATGCAAATATTCTTGTTCATGTGTACAACTATTTAAAAAAACATAGCAAACCTTTGTCATCGATGTACACGCTGATTCCATGTGGATTAAAAGAGTCTTTGTCAAAGTCTCCTTTGATGCTCAGTGATTCGATTTTGGGTTTAAAATCCAACAGATTCAGGGTATAGATCTTTCCAGGGTCTTCTGAGTAGTATGGTACACCAGGATACTTCAAGCCCTATGGATAAATCAGTTGATAGTGTGTTGACATTGGTAACTCTGCCGAGAAATCTGTTCTAAAACACCCAGTAATTCATTATTTTGTTGTTTTGACATACAGTGCTCAGAAAAGCCAATCCATCTTCAAGAATGGTGATGTCCTCAGCCCCAAACTCTGTAAAAACACAGAAATAATACATGACCACAGCATCAGTATTTCTTTAAATAGGTCTTCAAATTTAAGTGAGGAAATTATTACAAATCACTACAAAACCTTGCCCAAAACTTGCTTTTAAATTAGTTTTTCATGCAAACAAATCTTGATAGGATTATAATTGAATCTCAGAGAATATTTAAAAATGCAGTTTGACCCCAAATATACCCTTAATGTATATTTTTAAGGGGTAATGTTCGAGTACACAACTTATGTTTTATTTGAAATGATACTACAAGTGAAAAGATAGATATCGCGTGTTTACTAGTTAAATGGTTGTAGCACAATTTTTTGTTTATACATGTAAACACTGATATATGTAGGAGGTGTAGGACAGATTCATTATGACCACAATGAGAATAAAATGAGACTTGAAATTGCAATATACTGCTACTCTTAGATGATTTGAAGTGCTTCTTTTATCCTCACTTAGAAGTCGGCTTGGATACAATTCCAGTGAATGTGAATGTATACTACCAGTAACTGCTACTTTGGAATTAGCCTGATTAAACTTAAAGAAATACATTTTTGTTAATTAAATACGCTTCTCAAAGTAATAATAATGGAGCTGAGCTTGCTTCATGGTACCTAAACTCAATTTTACTGGCCAGCCATGGTACAGGCCCCTGATTTAGATACTTGCAGGTTTAATTTGCTCTATTTCCATTCAAGCATGACTTATTACAATATTAACTTAAACATATACAATAATACAATGCAGAGCAGTAATTAAAAGGGCTTCTTGATTAAAACAGCAAACACAAGTCAGTTTGTAATGCTTGCAAAAATTGCTTCTGAGTTTATATTATCAAAACACTGAGCACAACTCATAATACAGATCTATTTTCTAGCAGTAAAAATCCAGAAAATCATGCATATATGGTCAAGATATATAATTAAGAATTACATAAAAGTTGAAAAACAGGCCTAATGCTCTAATTCTACTAGGACACTTGGAATGATGAATGAGACAGAAGAAATGAGAATAGCCCTTCTAGGCCTGTGCATAGTTGTGCACCCAAATCAGTTTAAGGTCACCTCAGGGGTTGTTTCTCTTTAGGAAGATCCCTGACATGGCTGTAAAGTACTTTGAGTGTGCAGCAGCCTTTACAAGTTAATAATAATAATGAAAATAACACATTTTGTTAGTGTGTATTTACCAGCTGAATTAAGCTAATACATTTTATAGAGCACACTACAAATAAGATTGCAGCAATGTTTGAAAGATATGTAAAACTACTTAATTATTATTAATATTATTTTTTACAAACGGTGATTAGAAAAAAACTAGTGTATCCTGCAAACAGACTCTCATTCTGTATAAAATACCGCTGCAATCTCCTCATTTGCAGTGTTTGAAGCATCAAAACAATCCATTCAGACCTGGAAATTATTGTAGATTAATAGTTTACTAAACTTACCAACGCCCGTAATTAGTTGGCAGTTCGAAAGGTAATTCTTGGTTAGTTCTCTGTAGGAAAGCATTAAATGTCTGTGGAGAAGATCACATTTCAATGATTATTGTCACGAGCATGCTTTTGCTTGAGCCATCGCGGGCGTGACAAAAATAGAACTTCAGAACAGCGTTTAGTCAAAGAAAACGTCTACTGCAACTGTTTAAATGGGATTATAAACATCGACAAACCTAAATGAGCCGATTCTTTCTCCGATGAATACTGCCAGAGCAACAGCAACTAACGAGAGAACTGCTAACTTACCCATACTGACTGACTGAAACACTCAAAATACAATCCATCAATACAAACACCGAACATTTATCAGTGTTGCCATGTGCTCGCATTTTACGCTCTTTTGGACTACACTTCTTGCATGTCTTATCTTTAAATCGAAGGAAACTTTGTTTCTTGGCCAGTATACAGATTATGTTTTTATTGTATTATTCTATGTTTTCTGAATAAACCTCCAAGACACAATTAAACAGCATTTGTTATTCATATTGAAAAGAAGTTAGACAAGGGAATATGTGCCATATGGTTACCATCTACAATATATTTTCTTTTTTCTAGTTATTTTGGTTTAGATTTTCATGTTAGTTTAAGTCATTGTTAGTTTTTATTAATTTTAAGTCATTGTGTGGCCTTAGACACATTCTGGTAATGTGTTTAATTTTTGACAAGAGCTGTCTGGGCAAAAAGTACAATGCATTCAGTGGAAAGTACTGTTGTCTGACATCTGATAAATGGATTTTACAAACAGTGATACAAAATTTGCTCCAAGTTTAGAAGTTAGAAAAGTGACTAAAGAAAGTTGTCAGCTGTGAAATTTGCATCATGAAGGATCTAGTGCCATTGTAAAGACTGAAAGTGTATTCTTGCAATTAATGTAATTTAACATGCCATCTAATCTGATGTGCTTAACATGGTTTGTTTGTATCGTTTTTTTATTTTTTTTAATCACTTAATGTGTACAGATTTTACTTACTGCTGATATACTGAAATTGAAATGAAGTGATTTAGACAAATTCTTTCAAAGAATTTTTATTATTAATGTTCATTTGTAAGTATCACTATTTAAGGTCACAGATAAGAGCTTTCTGATAAACTGTTCCGATGAGCAGTTTTCCTCTATATGGAGCCGCCACTGATGAGCCGATGATCACACTTCCGTCATCTGAATACACCTGAGTCACTCTAGGCTTTTCAGAGAGGATGTTCTCAATCTTGATTACCTATACAGTATAAAAGCAAGCACATGTTATAGATTTTTTAACTTAATAGTTAAGGCTCAAAAAATAGTAAGAAAAGAACAGGATAGCAACTAATGATTCTAACATGTCAGCTCCTCAAATTTGACCTTGGGTGTAATAAATTTGGCTAAAGCATTATGCTTGCTACATATTCACACACCTCAGAGCCAGCCGGATCATTTGGATCACAAAGAAAGAATTTGAAAGCATTTGGATGACAGCCCAGCCACAAATCTCCAGACTCACGATCCACCTCAATGTTATCACAGAGTGATCCCACATCAACTTCCTGAGTGAGAAAAGTAAAGTATTAATATTAATAACAAACAAAACATCTAAGAACTTATTGTATCTGGTTGTTATCCAACAAACATACAATTCTAAGAATAAAAACAATAAGGGCTGCAAAATTAATCAAATGTAATTTTCATGTGCATTTTGTCTGTAAAACCAGTTCTGTAAATCAGCAGTACATCTCCTGCCCCTGTTTTTAGGCCATGTCCACACTTACACTAGTATTTTATGAAAATAGTTTTTCCCCTTCTTATTTATTTACATTTTTTAAATCTCAGTCTACTTGAAGATGCAAAAATGCACTGATAGCACTGTTCACTTAAGGAAATTGAATACAAAATTAATGCAGACGTGTAAACAAATACAAATTCAAATTGCATCTAACATGCAAGTTCAAATTATTCAACTTGAGTGGAAAACTCACGAGGTGAAAAAAAGTATTGTGTTGTCATGGTAGCCAACCAGAAAAGAGAAAACAGCATGAATACTGACATCATGATGCAAAAACTCTAGTTTAGTGGCCAGACCACCACACTGTAACCGGAGTTCCTGAAAAACCCTAGCTGGAGTTTTCAGAAAGGTTTGATTTCAGTCACCTGTTTTTTCGTTTTGGCGTGGAGAAACTGCCAAACTGTAGTTTTGAAAAAAATCTGTGGTGGAAAGTGTACTGAAAAATCACTCAAGTAAAAGTACCATTAACTGCCCAAAAATGTAGTGCAAGTAAATGTATCAGTTGTAAATATTACTCAAAGTATGAGTAAAAAGTAGTCCTTTTTTAAAAGTACTCAAGAGTAGGGAGTAGTGAGTATTACACTGTGAAAAACTAACATGCAATTTGTGCAGGCATGTGTAAACGTAACATTCTGTTGTGCATTTAGTTCTTGATTAAGAATATTTGAAGAGTGAGTTTTTCTAAAAATCATACTATATTTTCTTCTAAAATTAGCATTTTTTCCGACTCCTGTATGTAGGCGGAGTAATTTTACAGTGACAATTACGTTCTTTTTGTCTTTTCAAAACTGAACATAAACATAGGAGGCTGACAAAAATGCTCATTTTAAGAGAATATTTCAGACGGCATTTAGGTTTTTTTGAATCTGAACTCTTCATTTGTCATCAAACAGTAAACATCCGCCATCTTCTCATCAGTTACATGCAGTCTAAACAGTCATTGCGTGTAAAGATTTTGAGCAGCTTCCTGGACACTTCCCAAACATGTCTTGAAATTGTTCAATATGAGGCAAATTATTATTATTTTATTATTTTAGCCAATCCCCATAGACAAGGAAAAAATAAAGTAGTGTCTTCAAGTTGAAGAAAAGTAGTGGAGAAAAAGTACCAATACAGCACTGCACTAAATATGTACTCAAGGTAAAGTAAAAGTACACATTATTAAAAACAACTTAGTAAATTACAATTCCTAAGGAAAAACTACAGTAATTTGAGTATTTGTAGTTTGTTACTTTACACCACTGGAAAATACCCATGTTTGTATGCACACAGCCTCAGAATGAGCGTTTACTACAGAGACGCAATTGTTCACTGACAAGCTAAGTAAAAATTCCAGATGATTTAATAGCCATGATTATGAAATTGAATATAAATTATATTCAATCTGTGATTTGACAGCTTTGCTTTGCTTCTCATTGATTCAAAGCAGTGCTGCAGCTGCATCTGAATGTGAAAATGACACATTGACATAGTTTTACTCAAAACTCACTTCAAAACTTGAGTGTCGAAAATAAGTAATTCTCAGAGATGATTCCATAGTCGTGTGATTATTAGTCACAATGAAACAATAAAAGCAGTCAAATCCTGTTTAAATTTCCTGTGTCTCTTTGTTGCAGTGTATTTGCAGTTTCTGTGTGAGAGCGCCCTCTGGCCTTCTTCTGAGATTTACTACTGATCAAAGAGCCACGCTTCCCTGATGTGAAGATGTGCATGATGGTCGCAGCTTTGCCTAAATCATAAATTTGATTTAATTTCTTTTAATCGTGCAGCCCTACCTACTACAGAGTATTCAGTATACAGGAATCAGAAAGTGAAATTCAATACCTTTTAAGACTCTTTCCATACATTTTAAAATCTTAAACCCATTTTAGGTTTCAACCAGAAACACTGGTGAGATTTTAACTTACAGTATATTTACTAAATATTAAATGTAAGAAACTAATCCAAAACTAAAACATTATTCATATACTGAATACAAATCTATTAAATCTAGCTAATTCAGCATGTTGGCACCTATGTCAGATAGAACCTTATAATTCTAAGGTGATGTGATTTCAAATCTAGCAGGATTTCATTTATTTCAAAAACTACACAGCATCCTGATATTCATAGATTTAATTCAGGCCAACTTTAGCATACAACCATACATCGAATAATAAAAAATTATTTTAAAAATTGCAAAATAGCATTTAAGACTTTTTAAGGGCTTTAAATTTCTCTACATTGATTTATCAACTTTTAATAATTTTTAAGACCCTGTGGGCACCCTTTACTATATGGGATAAAATAGGATGTAACGATTCTTGCATTTTCAGTTTACCTTTACGTGAGACAGTTCAGTGGTTTTCTGTATTTCCAATACTGTAATTTTGTGCTTCATGATATTTGACACATACAGATGCCTGAAATGAAATATTATATGTGTCATTAACACATAAACATAACATCACTCCACAATTTTTGCATTGATAACCTTATATTAATTTGTTTCACTGGTAATTGTATATTTTTCAGCTACTTACCTTTTGTTAGGAGAGATGTTTATGCCGTTGGCAGATAAGAATCCTCCTGCCACAACCTGCACAGTCTCAGGACTGTAATAAACCACATCACACCACGGCAAAGAAAAAAGCAGCTCCAAAGACTTCAGAATGTCATTGGTGAAGTAATGATCATTGGTGGCATAAAAGCTTTCAGTTCCCACAGCCACTATATCATTCACACTAACAAATAAACAAATAATAAACTGTTTTTAATTTCTGGTTAGTTTTATGGTTACAGAAAAGCTGTGTTATTATTATTATTGTTTTGTTGTTGCTTTTTTTGAAGCACATACCTATGTAGTAGTTCATGCTTAATGGTTTTGATGTGTTTAAGGGCATTTTCATGATCAAAAAATCTGAAAATCTCCACTTGACTTTTGCCTTGAGGATGATTAACAACAAATAGGTATATTGCACCATCTGTAAAGACAGAAGAATTCATCAACCAATAAATAATCATCGATCACAAATTGTGCAACAATCATCCATTTCACAATACCACTTTGCAACTACTTAAAATTTGTGTTGGTGTTATAAATGAAACAGTAGCAATATGAGCACAGTTTATGCTGAATTCAATAATGCAAATGTTCTTGTTCATGTCTACAACTATTTAAAAAATAATTGCAAACCTTTGTCATCGATGTACACGCTGATTCCATGTGGATTAAAAGAGTCTTTGTCAAAGTCTCCTTTGACGCTCAGTGATTCGATTTTGGGTTTAAAATCCAACAGATTCAGGGTATAGATCTTTCCAGGGTCTTCTGAATAAGATGGTAAACCTGGATACTTCAAGCCCTATGGATAAATCAGTTGATAGTGTGTTGACATTGGTAACTCTACCGAGAAATCATTTCTAAAACACTCAGTAATTCATTATTTTGTTATTTTGACATACAGTGCTCAGAAAAGCCAATCCATCTTCAAGAATGGTGATGTCCTCAGCCCCAAACTCTGTAAAAACACAGAAATAATACATTACAGATCACCACAGCATCAATAATTCTTTAAATGTAGGCGTTCAAATTTAGGTGAACTTTAGTCAATTCCGGAAATTATAATAACGAATCCCTACAAAACCTTGCCCAAAACTCGCCTGGTATTTAAATTTCAAATCTTGATATTATAATTGGATCTAAAAGAATATTTAAAAATACAGCTTGACTCAAATATACCCTTAATGTATATTTTAAAGAAAAACATTTGAGTACACAACTAAAGTTTTTCACTTGTGCTTATTTTAAATGATACTACAAGTGAAAAGATATAGTGTGTTTACTAGTTAAATGGTTTTAACACTATTTTTAACTTATACACGTAAACATTAATATATGTAGAAGCTGGAGGACAGATTCATTATGATCACAATGAGAAAAAAAATGAGACTTGAAATTGCAATATACTGCTACTCTGTGATGATTTGAAGTGCTTCTTTTATCCTCAATTGAAAGTCACCTTTGGTAAAATCATCTGCTAAATAAGTAAATGCATACTACCAGTAAACTGTTAGTTATGAATTTGCTTGATTAAAGTCAAAGAAACACATTTTTGTTAATTAAATATGCTTCTCAAAAAAATAATAATAGAACTGAGCTAGTTTTATGGTACGTAAATCTTATAATTAGAGCAAACTAAGTTGAATTTAACTGGCTAGTCATGGCACAGGTTCCCGGTTTAGACACTTGCATGTTTAATTTGCTTTATTCCAACTCAAACATGACTTGTTACAATATTAACTTAAACATATAATTTAATAACATAATACAATGCAGAACAATATTTAAAAAGGCTACTTGGGTCAAAATAGTAAACACAGCAAGTCAGTTTGCAATGTTTACAAAAAATTGCTTCTGACTTTATCTTAATGAAAACACTGAGCACACAACTCATAATACATTTCTCTTTTCTGACAGTAAAAATCCTGAAAGTCATGCAAGGTTTATTATTAAGAATTACATAAAAGTTGAAAAATACGCCTAATACTCTAATTCTACTAGGACACTTGGAATGATGAATGAGACTGAAGAAATGAGAATAGCCCTTCTAGGCCTGTGCACCCAAATCACTAGTTTATGGTCACCTCAGGAGTGGTTTCTCCAGGAAGATCCCTGACATGGCTGTAAAGATAGAGGTAAAGTAGCTTTTATATTCGGATATTCAGACTTTCCCCTTAATAATATAATTTCATAAAAGTATTATTTGCAAACTCTAAATAGCGAAATCATATTAGCAGCAAATGACTATCAAAGTACAACATAGTTCACAGTCAAATAAACAGTGTTAATGTTGTTTTCAAGCCACACTAGAATGCTAATTCTGATCGAATATTCAAAGTACATGGTAAACAATATAGAGACTTCTAAATGAACGAATGTGCTAATGTAATACCAACTTTACCTCTATGCTGTAAAGTACTTTAAGTGTGCAGCCTTTAAAAGTTAATCATAATAATAATAATAGTAATAATAATAATAATGAAAATAACTCTTGTATGTGTGTATTTAACAGCAGAATTATAGAGCACTACAAATGAGGAGATGTTTGATTCATTTAAATATGATAAACTAATCAAAATGTTGTTTTCTTGACATATGGTGGTTAGACAAAACTAATGTATCGCCACGGTTATATCCAAATTCTGTATAAACCTCACTGCAATCTCCTCAATTGCAGTGTTTAAAACATCAAAACAATTAATTTAAATCAGGAAATGATGTAGATTAATAGGCTAACTAACTTACCAATGCCCTTAATTAGTTGGCAGTTAGGAAGGTAATTCTTGGTTAGTTCTCTGTGGGAGAGCGTTAAATGTCTGTGGAGAAAATCAGATTTCAATTGCCATTAACTTCACGAGCACTGCTGTTGCATGAACCATTACTCTGCGGGCGTGACAAAAAAATAGTCGCAAAGTTCAGTACAGCGTTTAGTAAAAAAAAAAACTTTTTTTTTAATTGTTTAAATGCGATTATAAACATCGACAAACCTAAGTGTGCCGAGCCTTTCTCCGATGAAAACTGCCAGAGCAACAGCAACTAACGACAGAACTGCTAACTTACCCATACTGACTGACACTGGCAAACCCAAAACAGGACGAACTCTTATCAGTGTTGCCAAGTACTCGCATTACATGCACTTTGGACTAAACTCAATTCAACAGTATCTCTACAAGTGAGATCAGTTTTTTTTTCAGCTTAAAGCTTTAATTACATTTTGTGGTGCTTGGCCAAAGTGAAATCATTTGAATTATATTAGTTTATGCTTCGAGTTGACTGAATAAAGCCTATAAGATATGCCTCATTTAACTACTGTAGCATGCCAGATATGACAATAAGTGGAAAAAAACATCAAACGTGTTTTATTTATTCCAACGAGATCAGCAGAAAAGATCTGAACAGAATTTAACTTTTCATGCTTAAAATTGGTTGTCAAACTTTTTAATTTCACATACTGTCCACAAAATTAATCACTTTTCCTCCATTTTCATTCTGCTGTGGCGACCCTGGATTTATAAAGGGACTAAGCCGAAAAATAGCCGAATGAAGTTTTATAAATAAAAAATGACATTGCGGTGGCCCAGTGAGTAGCACTATCGCCTCAGAGCAAGAAGGTTAACTGATTCGAGCCCCGGCTGGTTCAGCTGCCATTTCTGTGTGGAGTTTGCATGTTCTCCCTGTGTTCGTGTGGGTTTCCTCTGGGTGCTCCGGTTTCCCCCACAGTCCAAAGACATTCGATATAGGTGAATTGGGTATGCTAAATTGGCGGTATTGTATGTGTGTGAATGCAAGATTGTATGGGTGCTTCCAGTATTGGGTTGTGGCTGGAAGGGCATCTGCTGCGTAAAACACATGCTGGATAAGATGGTGGTTCATTCCGCTGTGGCGACCCATGATTAACAAAGGGACTAAGCTGAAAAGAAAATTAATGAAATATTTTTTGATCATCTATGAGGCCTTCTTAAAAATGTGTTGAAGAATCATTGGTTTATTGACCATTCAATGAATTGTACTGTTTAACAACATGTTGATTGTTCAGCTGATGAAAATGTCTTTTGATATTTTTTTTTCAATAGATAAAGACTCCATAGAACAGTTTTGTACATTGTGACATGATCTAGGATCTTATTGTGCCATTGTAAAGACAACCAGCCTGTCCCTCACGTCCTTGATTTTTATTAGCACTGGATTTAACAGATTCTGTGGTGCCTTTTTGATACAAAAGTAGCATGTCACACTGCAGCACAAAGTTGATACTTCCAGTCATATCAGGTCAGTAAACCATTCAGAATTAGAGTATCTTGTTTTTCATTTCTGTTCTCTGAAGAGATCCTATTTCAATAAATTCTTTCAAAAACTTAGACAATATTTATTCTCCTATGTAAGTGCATAATATCACTATTTAAGGTCACAGATGAGAGCTTTCTGATAAACTGTTCCAATGAGCAGTTTTTCTCTATAAGGAGCTGCCACCGAAGAAGCAATGATAACACTGCCGTCATCTGAATACACCTGAGTCACCTGGGGCTTTTCAGAGAGGATGTTCTCAATCCTGATTACCTATAAAGAAGAAGAACATGGAGATGTTATAGGTTTTTTCAGAAGTAGAGTAGACCAGATAAAATTAAAGATAAAGAACATGTTATGACTAGAGCCAGACAGAATCTGCGGATATTTTTTGCCAATTCTGCAAAAAAATTTGGAAAAAATCTGCAGATTTACGCAGAATGATTTTAGGAGTATCATAACTAATAACTTAATATCTAAAATAAATACATTTTTTACTTATATTTAATGTTTTCAATGCAAAACCAATTAGATCCACTTATTTGGTAAACAAAGCAAGTCTCTCATATAATATTTTTACTAAAAGACAAAATCTTTCTTGACAAACTGTATTGTAAATAATTCATATGAACATTTTAATATTACTATAGTTATATCGCAATAAAATTAGTAAAATTAATTTAAAAACTGAATAAATATAAATTTACACAAGTAAAGAAATAGATTCAATAATGGGCTAAAAATCTGCACATCTACGGATTTCTGTATGCGCAGATTCCATGTAAGCCTAGTTATGTCTCAGACATCATACAAGCATGCACTCTACAAATCTGATATTTTTATGCTACATAAATTCACACACCTCAGAACCAGGTGGATCATTTGGATCATGAAAAACACATTTGAGACCGTTTGGGTGACAGCCAATCCACAGATCTCCAGTCTCACGATCCACCTCAATGTTGTCACAGAGAGACCCCACATCAATTTCCTAAGAAAAATAAATATGCAGAAATAACAATAATTATTGCTGAACTTTATTATTTAACTTATCTAACTTATATAGCATGATCTACACTATTTATTGTTTTATTTGAGGTAAACAAAATATAACTATATAGGTGGAAACAATTGTGTTTACCTTTACATGAGACAATACAGTGTTTTTCTGTATTTCCAAGACAGCAATTGTGTGCTTCAGAATATGTGATACATACAAGTGTCTGAAATGAAACATTATTGTATTAATTGCATATGAAACGCATAATTGCATGACAAATGCATTGACAATCTTTTATTACTTTGTACTTTAAACAGTACAAATCTTTTTTTCTGCAACCTGCCTTTTGTCAGGGGAGATGTTTATGCCGTTGGCAGATAAGAATCCTCCTGCCACAACTTGCACAGTCTCAGGACTGTAATAAACCACATCACACCACGGCAAAGAGAGAAATGGCTCCACAATCTTCAGAATGTCATTGGTGAAGTAATGATCATTGGTGGCATAAAAGCTTTCAGTCCCCACAGCCACTATATCATTCACGCTAACAAATACACACACAATAAAAATGAACTTTAATTTCAGATTAGTTTTATGGTTACACAAATATTGTAGTTTTAAAAAGCACATACTTGTGCAGGAGCTCATGCCTAATGGTCTTTAAGTATTCAAGAGCATTTTCATTCTCCAAAAATCTGAAAATCTCCACTTGACTTTTGCCTTGAGGATGATTAACAACAAACAGGTATATTGCACCATCTGTGAAGAAAGAGAGAGGAAGAATTGACATACAATTAAGTTATATCACAATCAATCAATTTGAACATTTGCAATAACTATTTCTGTTGAGGGTAGATATAAACTTACTGTATGCATGCGTCAAGTGTAGATGCAATTCAAAAAGAAAATGTAACTTAAAACTTTAAATAATAAAGTAATTTAATATAAAGACAAACCTTTATCATCTGTGTACACACTGATTCCATGTGGATTAAAGGAGTCTTTGTCAAAGTCTCCCCTGATGTGTAGTACTTTAATTTTTTGTTCAGAGTCCAACAGGTTCAGTGTGTAGATCTTTCCTGGGTCTTCTGAGTAGGATGGTACACCAGGATACTTCAAGCCCTATGCAGAATTCATTTTCCGTCAACAGTAAAATCTACACTTGTACAGTTTGGCAATTTAACAATGTGCTTTTAGCAAAATTGATATTAAATCAAATAAGTACTTTTATGGAGACATCATCAGTGGCCCAATAAATTACAGATTAATTAATTTACATACAGTACTAAGAAAGGCCAATCCATCAAGTATGGTGATATCTTCAGCCCCAAAATCTGTTCAAACACATTAAGTGTATAACATATTATGTTCAAATGTTATATGATATAGTACAACACATGAAATATATGTTTTGCATAATACACACAGATCATCACAACATTAATTTGCAGTGTCAAATTTACACTCTAAAAATGCTGGGTGGTAATTCATAGGAGGGTCTAATATGAACAAGCCCAATTCTTCAGCTGACAGTTGTCATTTAAACTTGATTGAAAAAAATTATCCCAATGCTGGTATTTGTTTATATGTGTGTCCATATTTAGTGTATACACAAGTGGCCATTAAGAACAAAACCTTCACTGCCAATGAAACTTTACATTACATGAACCTAAAAATGTATATTATTTTACACAGCATTCGGTTTAGTTCATCAGTAAAAACAAGGAAATGAATCATGACCTCAAGTGAAGGCAATACTAACCTATGCCCTCTATAAAATTGCAGTTAGGAAGATAGTTCTGGGTTAGTTCTCTGTAGGAAAGCGCTACATGCCTGTGGAGAAGACAAAAAGGCTGAGCAAAACACTGACACGATTGTGGTCATGTGCAATAGTTATGCACAAATGAACTAATATGCATAGCCACAAATGTTGGAACAAGTCGCTATATAAATAGGACGGATGAACAAACCTTAATGAAATGAGTCTTTCTCCTATCAAAACTGCAAAAGCGACAACCGCAAGCGAGAGAAAAGCTAACGTGCCCATAACTGTCTGAAAGTCCAGCGCACAAACACCATCAGTGTTGCCATGTCCGCTCATTGTACGCTTTACTTACTTTTGAAATAACTGACAATCTACAAATATAATCCACAAGGGGCTCTTGTTTTTGAGAGTATCGTTCCAGGAATTAATCTTAACTTGGCATACATACCATACAGATATTTATCCCAAATATGTGGCAAAATAGCATAACGTCTATTGAACATAGCCCAAATCACAGCTGCCAAATATCACCATCTACTGTCCAAACTGCATATTTTAAAATTAAATCTGAAATGTTTTAATTTAATTTTAAAAACTTAAAATATACTTAATAGTAAACATCTTTGGTACGTGCAACTCATATTCAAAGTGACATGTGTGTGTGTGTGTGGGGGGGGGGGTGTATTATTAATGTATACATATTACACCAACGGAAGCATATTTATTTGTAAGTTGCAGTTCTGGAATTGTCAAATATAATAATAAAATCTATCTAGAATTATCTATAGTTATTGATGTAATTTTACTTATTTTTCTTGTTAATATCAGTAATATTAGGAGATTTGGCAACACACTGTTTCAAAGTCCACCCCCTCTAAAGTGCTTCATTTGAAGTTTTACTTTGTTAATTCACACAGTTGACCCAGTTGCATTTTCTTCATTAACATGTATTTTGGCAGTGACCCCATTCAGAGACGTGCCTCTGTGTTTTGCCTTTATCCTCTCTTAATTACGCACTTAACATGCAAACCAACCTTGAGATGTCTCCTTTCATGCAGAAGTTATGTATTAATCTTTTGTATGAATAAGTCAGAGGTCTGTGAGTTTGAAAAGGCTTCATTAGAAAAAAAAATATTGGGTTAAGAGCAAATATTTGAATGGTAACAACAGCCAATAAGATTGCTTTTTGAATTATTTTGTATTATTTTGTATTTATTTATTTTTTTTACAGACGATTAAATGAGTGCCAAGAGAATGATGTTTTATTCTAAGCATCCAATAGCTTTGATTAAGCGATATAGTGTACTATTTTGTCTCAGGTTCTTACTGTAGTAGCATCTATTGGCCAGTAGTGGGCACTGTTGCATACCTATTTTTTATAGCATTCACACGTTACACAAAACATAAAGCCTGGTTATGTTAGATCTAAATCAAATCCTTACATACAAATGGCAAAAACGATTGAATTAGCAATACAAATAAAATGTGTGTTCCTTGTGCATTAGCAGTGCTTTAAGTTTATATAACCGTGTGGTGTGTTTGGAGCAAAAAATTATAGTCGATGTAGAATATTAAACATATGTGTAATTTTGATCAGAATTCTTTAAATCTAAGTATAACAATGTTGCAAAATATCATAATTTCTAATAAGATTTTACCAGTATTTCTGCTGGGTTGGTGATCTAAATTAATGGTCTAAAACTCAATTTCTGAAGAGCAGCAGCTTTGTGTAGTTTAGCTTCAACAACCTCCAACTCACACCTGCATAATAGTATAGAAGTCTTGAACACCTTGATTATTTGGATCAGAAGTGTTTGATTAGGGTTGGACTAAAACTGCAGAGCTGTGGCCCTTAAAGAATCGAGTTTGAGACCTATATGATCTAAATAAAGGCATTATGAATGCTGAATTCCTTTAAAACCATTAATCACATTCTTCTATTATAGTACATCTCTCTGCTTTAGGGTGCAACATTTATTATCATGATGTAACTGCTCACTGCTTATTGATATACAGAACAGCATTAAATTGTAGTTGACAAATAACATGCCGGGTGACACTGTGGCACAATGGGTAGCACAATCGCCTCACAGCAAGAAGGTTGCTGGTTCGAGCCTCGGCTGGGTCAGCTGGCATTTATGTGTGTAGTTTGCATGTACTCCCTGTGTTCGCTGGTTTCCTCTGGGTGTTACGGTTTCCCCCACAAGACATGCTCTATAGGTGAATTGAGCAAGCTAAATTGTCTGTAGTGTATGTGTTTGAATGAGTGTGTGGATGTTTCCCAGTACTAGGTTGCAGCTGGAAGGGCATCAGCTGCGTAAAACATATGGTGGATAGAATGCCGATTCATTCCACTGTGGCACCCCTGAATAATAAAGGGACTAATACAACTATTGACTAATAAAGTCAAAAAGAAAATGCAATGAATGAATGAAATAACATGCCTATCATAAATTTTTAATTAGCATATTTTTGGTTAAAACCTAACTATAAAGGTTTCAGGTCATTTAACTAGTCAGCATTTCTTTAAAAATACACAGGTAAACCACAATTAATTCCTCTGGCTAGATCCTAAGAGGTGGTAAGAAGTAAAGCATGAACATTATTTGTAATATTATTATATCTCCATGATGATAATCAACAGCACATTTTAATTGTGACGTATTTCAACTATCCTGTATTTTTAAATCCTTGTATCCTTGTTTTTTTATCCTTGTAACATACTTTCTTGGTGCCATGTAGTTCTTCATTTAAAATGAACAGATTTCAATACATGTACAACATTTTTAAAAATTAATAAAATACTACATCAGGGCTAATATAAAGGATCTAAAGTCATTCATTCATTCATTCATTCATTCATTCATTCATTCATTCATGCATTCATTCATTCATTCATTCATTCATCCATTCATTCATTTTCTTTTCAGCTTAGTCCCTTTATTAATCTAGGGTCTCCACAGTGGAATGAACCGCCGGATCTAAATTCAAAATATGCAATTAAACATGAAAAATAATACTTTTGCAGCAAATCAAAATGCTTTTATGTCAGTTACATTAAAGCAATCCAGTATAATTAATTTACAATGTCTTATCTGTTGCAAGATACTAAAATAATAGTGATATATATGAATAAAAAAATTATACTGATATACTTAATCTCAAAATGGCAGCTTTAACCCTGTTTTTATACTATAATTTACGACAACCCCAGTATTTTCAAACTAATTAAAGTGTCATTCATAGTCACTTTAAAGTAAAAGTGTCAACATCAAGAAGTGTCAAAGCAAAGATCATGATTCCATAATTCACTTCAAAAGCAAAAATAAACAAAAAAAAAAACTCCTACGAATCACAAGCTACAGATCTACTGTTAATTACCATGATTTACAGAGTACTAAAATGTGTCATTCTGTGGTGTCAATTGTTTTTTTGTAAAATACCTTTAAGTAAACTGTGTTTGTGTTTGACAATGGCAAGCTGCAAGAGCATATTTCACATTGAAAGCACATCAACACACCCTTTGCAAAGACTGTGGCATTTTACCTGTGATTCACTAACATTTTTCTCTGCATATTTTTCTCTTCATTGCACTGATGTATGCACTTGGGAGTGAACGAACCATGGCAGATGAAGCTTCGGCTTTACTCATTAATGAGTGACGGTCTTTTTGAACTGTCATGCTAGAAGGGCTATACTGGGGTGGGGATTTAAGAAAACTGAAATACCTGCCTTACCAGTTATGCAACAAATTCGACAATCACTGTTCATATTCGTTCAAAACTGTTCAAAACCGCTGTTGCATTTGTGAGCACACTGATTGCACAAGAGCTTCCTATAGGGTTAAAAAATGTATATATAGGGTTTTAAAAACAGTTTTTGACATACTCCCACGGTTGACTGATTAAATTAAAGGAACACTCCTCTGTTTTTATAGGCTTACAAGTCCTCTAGAGTTAACAGTTGATTGAAGCTGTCTTAAACAGTTGATTACAACCATTATTAATCTGTCAGCCAAGCTCTGGGTCTTGTGGGAGTATATTTAGCTTAGCTCAGCATAAACCATTGAATCAGATTAGACCATTAGAAAAATGAAAAAATTGAAAAAGGATTTTTTGACATTTTTTGCTATTTAAAGCTAAACTTTCTGTAGTTACAGTCTGTACTAAGATCAATGAAAATTGAAAAGTTATAATTTTCTAGAAGGACAATATGGCTTCAAAGTAGGAACTCTCTCATTCTGGCATGATAATCAAGGAAGCTTATCCTTGCGCCTGCTGCAGCCATGTACGAAAGCAATGTCCCTTGATTATTACACCAGATTGGGATTTCTGGTCTTAGTACACTATGTAACTACAGAAATGTTGAGTTCATTTCCTTTCATTTTTTTTTGTCGGCTTAGTCCCTTTATTAATCTGGTGTCGCCACAGCGGAATGAACCGCCAACTTATCCAGCATGTTATTTTTTACCCAGCGGATGCCCTTTTAGTTTTTAGTTATCTCTGGGAAACATCCACACACACATTCACATACACACTCATACACTACTGACAATTTAGCCAACCCAATTCACCTTTACCGCATGTCTTTGGACTGTGGGGGAAACCGGAGCACCCGGAGAAAACCCACGCAAATGCAAGGAGAACATGCAAACTCCACACAGAAACGCCAACTGAGCCGAGGTTCCAACCTGCAACCCAACAACTTTCTTGCTGTGAGTCGACAGCCCTACCTACTGCGCCACTGCTTCGCCCAATGTTGAGTTCTAAATAGAAAAATTATCAAGATTTTTTTTAAAAGCAAATTGCTAATGGTCTGATTCAATGATTTGTGCTAAGTTAAGCTAAGCCGGAGATAAGCTAAATGGATTGCAATAATGGTCACATTTTTGACTCTAGGTGACAAGTAAAATGAGCCTATTTCCAAAAGAAAGTGGAGTGTTGCTTTAAAAACTATAACGTAAAAAAAAACAGGTTTTCTAAAATGTTATGTTTAAATATGCAAAGTAGGTTTGATTTAATTAAATATGCCCCAATTTGCATAAATCTCTCGCACAAAAATCTGAACACTCGATTAAATCAAAATTTAAATTCTTATTTATATATACACCTTCCTCAGATTAAGATTTTAATAAAACTGTAGGTTGTTGTATACTGCTGCTAAACAGGGATGGGCAAAAATACATTGAAATGTATTTTGAAATAAAATACCAAATACCTCCATTTTAAGTGTATCAAAATAAACTACTAAATACAGCAGCCACAAATGTATTAAAATAAAATACTGTATTTTTTGTATTTTGAAAATGCTA